TAGTTTTTGGAAATATATGGGGTTTACATCCGTTTTGTTTTTTTTCTCGCAATTTTCACGTGTTTTGTAACCCCATTGGTTAGCTTCATCCTACTGTAAAAAGAGTGACAGTTTGGTAGCAATATTTTCTGGTATTCCCGCAAAAACCAAGTTTCAGTGTATGTTTGCAGTTGTCAAGAAACTGATTCAATGTGCTCCTGCAAAGTTTAAATTTTTAAAAGTAATTACTGTATATTATATGTAACTTTTAAAACTTAGTGTACTGACTGTCACACCCGTTACGCAAAACATGGGTTTTTTAATGTAACTATTTTAATTCATGTCATTTTGAGATGCCAATTTTTTCCGTACGTCTTCAAGTCAAGTACAGCTTTGGAGTATTTTTTCCAAATTTTTATTTCAACAATTGATGGGCAAAAATGCGTAACGGGTGTGACACGTCACGGGTGTGACCAATGAGAAGAGGCTTCAATTACGCAGATGTTGCCTCACTTCTCACTATTTTTTCTATGGTTATCACAAGAAATACACTCATATGCACAATTAGAGGTATGTACATATCTAATAAGAGAGAGATAGCCAACTTTTTTGTCATATTTCAGTATTTAAAGTGAATACACCTATCTCAAAAGGACTTCAAATAGAACTCGTTGAACTCTCTCCGATTGGATTGAAATATTTTCACTTTACTATAGGCCAAGACCTACCGTACCAGGATTTTTTTTGGGTTAATTTGGATCATGCGAGGTCCAGGACCGCGGGGACGAAAGGAGAATCCTGGGCTACCTGAAGAAAAGCCCTGGGACGGTAGGTCTGGGCCACCCTGCAGAAAAATGTAGTTTTGGCATGTTCTACATTAAAATGCGTCAAATTGCTGATTGATTTACTGCTTAGGATTGCCTACAATAAGAGTATGAAAAGAAAAGTAAGTTTTTTAACTTTTAAACTCTCTCAGAAATGATGGACCTCAGAGAGACAATCTGTCACACCCGTTACGTCACACCCGTTACGCAAACTCTCCCATTTTTCAAGGAAAGAAAAAAAGATAATCGAAAACGGATCATCGGCAGATGAAGCAAAAACCCTTGGCTTCATCATATAATTTAATCAGATTTTTAAAATCATAAAATTCGCTGAGTTTCCACTTTACACTCACTGAGGAAAAACTCACTTCCAAAATCGGTCACGCCCGTTACGCAGCCTTTTAATTTTTTCCTGAGGAATGGAACAAAATAAAAACAATTTCTGATAAAATAAAATGATCTATAAAAAAAGTTCTTTCTGCTACTGCGGATAATTTTTTATTTAAACCCCAAGAAAGAGTTCAAATTCTTGTTTAAAGTTAAATTGTTGTCACACCCGTTACAATGGAATGACCCTTAGGCATTTTCAGCGTGAGAGACCTAACAAAAACTGTGTCACATCATTAGGTAGGGATTCATTGGGTTTAACTAATCTCCACTGAATTTGTAGTGTTGTCGTTTTTACCCTGATGTTCGCATGCACACTATACAATTTGACCATAGTTTTAAGCAATACATCATTCCTCTTGATATGCAAGAAAGACTTCTTAAGAAGCTGCGTGCTTTGAAATAAGTGTCTTAATGAATGTAAAAACTATGAAACATTTTGAAAGTTTTCAAGGAAGATACTTTTTTTTAGAAGTGCTCACAGTTTGAGTTGAATACATCAAAATAATTGCTTTTAGCAATGGCTTTAAGGCATGGTTTAAGGTTCAGGAACCTTTTGGATTCATAATTCTTTTTTTGTGTGACTCAAGACCTTTCATTCTTCGGATTAAGCTGAGAATTTTGAATGAAAGTCAAAAAAGGGAGTAATTAATTATTTTCTGTGGCTCTAATTTGTTGCACATTCTCTATACTTTGTTTCAGATTGAATTCTTATCAAGTCAACGGCCAACAGATGAAGAAAGAGCAAGGCACCTTCTGCAATTGTGGATAGAAATGGATGATGAGCCTTTAGTTGATGACCTAGTTTATGTTCTTGAAGGTTTAGAAATGACTGCAGCGTGTCAACTGTTGAAATCGTTAAATTGAAATCCTTTTTGGAGGGAAGATTGGGCAGCTTTTAAAAACTGAGTTTACACAAATTTCCAGGTTAACTAATTTTTTATAGAAAGTTTCCGAAGAGAAAACAATGAGTTTAAGGTCAGTTATTTTGTTTTTTTCCTTTTATTTTCTGACAGATCAGGTTTTTTTCCTCTTTATTCAAGTATAATTCCACCACATATTGAATAATTTTTACCCTGACTCAGCCACAACCTTTTTTTGAGTGCAGAGTATAAAATCCTAGGGAAGATTTCTCTTTAATGTTCTTTATATGTGATTGTCCACAGGAAAAGCGACCTTAGACCACAAAAGTCTAAAATTCAGTTATTGGTACTGAAGCATTAAGGAGTATTCTGTGAACATTTCCAGACAAAAAACACCCAAAACTATCAAACCAAACTAGAGTTAGGGCGGTTAGAAGTTTGCAAATCAAGAACTTACTTAGAGAAACATTTATTTAAAGTTCTAATCTGCCACTTTCAGTTTACTTACAAGATTATTATCCAACTTTACACCTTTTATTGGAATGAAAATGAACTGAGTCGCTCTCATCTTATTCATTAGGACACTCAATAGGTATTTGCATCAGAATCTTGAGACTCCGATTTCTCCACCAACTCAAGAATAATTATTATCCTAATGAAAATTTGGAATGATTGAGGATAGAGGAAAATTGCCAGCAGTTAAACAATAGATTCAAGAGTTAAACATTTAAATGAAGTGCAGAATTGTTACAGTCATCAAAATATGTCAGGGTGAACTATATCACTAACATAGAAAGTATATTTTTATTAATGCAAAGATCTCAACGTATTTATATGCCAAACTTTAGTAATGTATTTGATAGAATCTATGAATAAAACATTAATTTTTGTACAATTCAAGTTACGCCTATTATTTTAGTTAATCACCTCAGCTAACACAAAACATATGAAAAAAGCCTGCAGTTGTTTAGTCAGCCCAGACAGAATCTGCAAGTTTTTCACTTCATTTTTTCTTTCAAGATCATTTTCATTGATTTTCTTGTTTGTCCATTTTGGCTATGAGCCTCCACCTCTATGGAGGGATCTCATTTTAACTCACAACAATTTGTTTCAGTTAAGTTCTGGTGCTCAAGAGGCATTTTTTCACTAATTTTCCTCTTTTTTATTAGTGCGGGTGTTCCTGTTGTTCATTAACTCTCTATTTTTAAGATTTCATTTTTCATGTTTTACATAAATATCTTTTTTGAAGACGTTTGTAAAAGTTCAGTGTCATCCTGGTCTTGAGCAACATTGATATTTCTCAATAGATACATAAGCAAGGGTTCCAAGTTTCTCCTAAAAGGGGAGTAACTTTGAAAAAAAGTTTTTTTTTTAAAAAAAAAGAGGGGTTGGAGGTCCTCAATGAATTTTTAAAATTAAAGATATTCATAAGAAAGCAAAATCCCATTTTTTTCGGAAATCCATTTATAATTTTGTCAAAATTTCTATGAATGACAGCAAAAAAAAGGAGAAAAAGTTTAAAAAACATTCAAAACTTCTCTGTGTACGGAATAATGCAAACTTTCATTCTGAAAGATCACTTATAAATGAAACAGCCTAAGAGTAGTCAAAACTATTTTAGACTTAGAGATCGATAAGTAGGCACATAATGCCTACAGTACGTGTCTAGCTGGGAACATTAACATTTTTATGTAGCAATTACACTCCTTACATATATCTGTGTCATAAGTGCATAAAAACAAATCATACCCCTTGAAAATTAATAACAGGGTACGGGTTGATTTTAAAAAAAGGGCACTACTAACATTAAGCAAGCATATCAAGTAAAACAAAACATGAAAAAAAGAAGGGGAATCGTTTGTGAAATAAAAACTAGAATTTGAAAGGTTACAAGGTACACACAACAACTATTTAAAGAATATCATGCGATAACAACATGATAAAGTTAGGAAGGATAGATCAGTGGACGAATTTGAAAAAAAAACACCATAGAGAGAATCGTTTTGGTTTTCAGTTCATGACACCATTTAATTTCCATCTGAAACAGAAACGATTTTCATTATTTTTCAGCTTGTTTTAAAAAGCTATACAATTTTAGATCAAGTTCAACAATTTGGATGACAAGTGAATTCTGAGAAATCAGTTTTTCACAAAATAAAAATTTTGATACATGAAGAGACAGGTACTACCTCACATACGACGTCCTTCAATTTTGAAAATTCAGAATTTTAAGTTGGTTAACTTCAAAAAGTTTCTATGCAGTGAATGAAACACATTAGTGTCAAGAAAGATGTTACTAACAAAGCGTGCTTCTTTTCATCATTTAACATCCATTTCCTGTTTCTTGACATCAATATGAAGAGATTAAGACATCCCCCACACTCTCATCACTTACAGTTCCTCAGGACCCAAAAAATTAGCATATGCCTATAGACTAAAATACGCATAGCCTATTTCTTTAGAGAAACAGCAAAAGTCAATTTTTAGACGGATTCCAAAACACCGGCATTTATACACATTTCTGGCTTTGGACCTTTAAAATTAACTGAATTCAAAAGGAACTCAGGTGATGGAGACAGTGCATGTAACCTACCTCATTAGTGTTGCATATTGTTCTGCAGGACTGATCGTGTAACGATAGGATAAGACACAAGGGGTTGACTGGCCCCAGATAAAGCCATGGTAGTTTGTTGTTGAGCAACTGTTACAACTGGTGCCATTGAAACTGCTGCTAGAGATACCGGTGTCACAGCCGCTAAACTCACAGGGACTGTTGCAACACTTGCAGCCACGGTTCTGATTACTTGTTGTGATATCTGCGTTGGTTGCATCTGGTTCTGACCTGTAAGTTTAATCATGAAGATTGAAAGTAATGAAAAAGTGGGTGGTGGCGGTGATGGTTAAAAGCATTATGATGGTTCAAAAACTGACTCTCACAAGATTGAGACATGAACAATTGGCCTGCAGGTAGAGCAGAATAAACATCTGCTGTTGCCTCTGAATACCTCTCAGGACAAAGCAAGGAAAATACCAAAAACACTGAAACTCATTAAGAGTTCATGGTGTAATTCTGATTCCTTCGCAGAATAGTGAGGACCCTGCATTGTTCTACAGTTCTGCAGAGTACTAACGGTATTCAGGCCACATTTTCCTGTTTTTCTTTTGTTTCTGTTTTATTATAATTGTGAAAATATTATAAATAATTTTTGACTCGCAATACAAATTTCTGTCTAGCAATACTTAAAATAACATTATATTTTTCATGCTGCTTATCAAGCTTTTGTTTTCAGCTTTAGTAACACTTCATTCAAGTGAAATTTGGATCTAAATTCGGTTAATATTTTGTGAAGGAAAAATTATAGCTGTAACAGTCCAAGACTTCAGTGAATTTTACATGTAAAAAAGTTCAAAGCTGTACTTATAAAAGTTACACTATTAAAATTCTTCTTCTTTTTACACTGAAAATACAGGATTGTACCTTCAACTACAATAATTTTGCTCTAAAACTTGGAAGTTTTCTCGATGTCTTAATCATCATTTAATTCAATGTTATTAAAAGCTAGTCTTCCGAATTTTCAAAGCCCTCCCATTTTTTTCATGCCGCTATATGATCATGATTGGGAGGTTTTCACAACCCTGAGTGCTTATACAGGGTGTCTAGTCATTTTTCATTTTGGGATATCTTGATGAAATCCTGATGTTTGACTGCTGAATCCTGATTTTATAATTTTTCCAAATCCTGATTTTCTGCGATGGCCTCACTCGAGGCGAATGTAACTTCACAAAAATAACTCAACAAAAAAATCCGATCGGACAGCTGAATTTTCTCAAATCCTGATTGTACGACCGATTCTTCCTCAAATCCTGATGAAATTGGGACTAAATCCTGATTAACCTCAAACCCTGATAGAATCAGGAAAATCGAAAAAATCCTGATGCTATGACACCCTGTTATATGCATATGTTCCCTTTTTTTCAGTACTGTATTTAATTGTCATTCAAACATGCTGATTTTTGACTGATTTCTTGTTTCATTTGTTTCAAACTGAGTTGATGGGTACCTAAGAGAGTTGGTGGAAAAACTGTTTTCAACCTTTACCTGATGGAAGTTGAGAGTTTGTGATTGTAACAGCAGGTACTGTCATTGCAGCTAGAGTCTGGTTCTTTTCCCGTAACCTATACTGGGCATTTTGTTCAAGAAGGAATTCATTTGTCGCCTGCAAGTCATCTATCTTCCTCTTTAAATCTGCAACTTGTTTCCTCAGCGAGTTATTTTCACCCTCCAGCCAATGTGAATCACGATCTGAGAAATTATTTCTCCGTGGATAAAAGTCATCCATGTCATCATATCTTCTGCGCTTAAAATTCATCCTATCATCAACACCATTTCTGTCATTATAATCTCTATCTCGATAATCTCGACTGTCTGCTCCAGGTCTCCGTTGAAACACACTACCGCTAGAATTCACTGAGTTATTTGAGCGAGGATTGGGGCGATCCGGGAAGTGAGGCCTGTCATCATTAAAGTAGTCTCGCTGCAGCACATGACGGAACTTGCACCTTGGGCGATGACAATCTCCTTTCAGAAAATCTTTGCAGACAGGTTCATCATCACATTTCAGAGGAATTTCTACATATGGAGGTAGGTCACCAGTTTTGTTGTACATTTCTTCATCTTGCCGGGAGCAGTGAATGAAAATACAATCTTTGCGGGAACACTTCCCATTTTGAAAATCATGACAGAAAACATACGTTTTCTTTTTGTCTTTCCTCACTGGATGGGAGTACTTACAAGAATTTCCTCTAAAACAGACATTACGCAGATAGTCTCTGCATATGTTTTTATCTCCACCATCACCACATTCATCACCATTTTCACTCATTTTTAACTGAATAGTTTCTTCAATATTTTCAAAAACAGTTGAAAAAACTGGATTGTTACTCTATCGATTTCTGCACCTATAATCACAGACAAAAAAGTGTGTTAGAATAAGTCTTTGCGGAAATGAGAGCATATACTTCGGTACTATTTGATAATAGTACATATTTCATGTTGCAACAATGTATCTACAATTTTTTGAAAACAAGGCTCAAACCTTGGGAAACGACTAGAAAAGAGTCTGTAAACGAGCAATGCAACTTGGTATGGAAACTCTGATTAATGCCGAGAGAAATCACTGTAAATTTGTAGGTTATCTTTGGATTCACTCAATACTGTAGCAAAATCAAGGAAGGTACAGTACCGAGGAATGAAAAACAGAGTCCCCATCAACGTCTCCGAGTCAAAAGCGTTGGCTCAGTAACGATTGCAGGCAGGACTGTTCAGCTCTTTATGTACTTGAGAGGTGATCAGCATTAAGTAATATCTGTGACATGTTATTAATGCTTATATCCTAAACAGCTTTTCATCTTGCTGAAGAGCTCCTTCACTATACTAACAACAAAATACTCCTGGTGAGATGTAACACCATGAGTAAATCAGACTTAGGTAGTTAGATGGTTACAACGGGTGTAACAGACTAACCGCTAGGTTACTCCTGTGCAGAGCCCGTCTTCCAAATATTCCTTCACTGTTGATGAATTGTGCATATGGGTAGAAAGTTAAATAATCATTGGCCCAAAGATAATTCCTATGTTGAAAACCGCCTCATAGAAATGAGAAAAACTTAGGAGTTGACAAATTAATCATACCATGGTGACGGTGAGTTCATAACATGAAGGCAAGTCCAGCCCAGTGGAGATCTTCCAAATCCCTTTTTCATAAATTTTAACGAGTCAAGAGCTGAGGAAAGGATCTATCTCACAAAAGCTAAGGAACAGAACAACCTTATACATGAACAATTTGCAAAAAATGCGAGAGAGAATTCACTCCACTCAGTTTTAGATAGGTATTGTTGATAAAAATACTTCCGACCGAAACAGCAAAGCAAAAAAGTAAACGCCACTAGTTAGGCTAGAAACTGAGAGAGGGAGAGAATGGCCATTCGTATGCCGCTTTTTCATTGGTCGTGGAAAATAGGCTAATAAGGCACTGATAAGATAAGACTGATTACCTGCTGATTACAGTCGTAAGCAAACGAACAAGATGGCCACTTTCCAGAAAAAAATTGTGAAACAATAATGAGATTTACGACAAATAACAACTTTAGAGTTGATTTTAGGTCATAATAATATGATAATTTAATTTGAATGAAGCCATAAATTGAGCTGTCCAGGAGGAAAAAGAGGGTCGGTGACGGTGCATCAGTGCGTTTTATTGCGAAAGGGTTGGAGCTTCAGGTGACTTTGTTTTGTAAACACAATGGTGACTCATATCTCTTATCACCATCACTCGGTGCTTGAATCCTCAATCCTGCATAATTTTTTCGCTTTTTCTTGTCATGTATTGTATTTTTGAGTTATTTACATTTCCCATGCACTTATTCTTTGAAAACACAGTCTGGTGAAGTAGCTGTTTTGGTGAAAATTATTTTATTATTTATTTACTACTCAAAATTTCATACCATCCACTCTCATTTCAGAAGCTTGTAGGTGCAGTCAGTTTCTGTGTTTCCTTGGCTTGCTATCGGTCGTTGCCGTTGCCGAGCGAGTATCATCACATCACTGACGAGAGCATTGAGATTCAAATGACATGCACTCTCTGCTCAAAGCCTAAGTTGGTTTTACCGCAGATCTGGAGTAAGTGGCCGTGTCAACATGTCTAAATCCATCACCAATGACGAGAAATTGAAGCAGAATTTGAAGGATCAACTCTCTCGGCTTATGAATGAATTAGTTGACCTCGATGAATGCAAGTGAGTTTTAACTCCTCTCCTCTATAGAATGTACTGCCTACTTTTGAAACTTACCCTCGGATTTCGATTTCATGTTGAATAACGGGGTGTATTACCTACGGCAAGTTCAGATGGCTTGCTGAGCTGCTCGTCAGAAGTGACGAGTCGCACAGTGCATGCTCTATGAGCCATCCAATGGAGCGCTTCCTACCCTCACTGTAGAGCGCCTGTCGGAGGGCTTGTTGAGCAACCTATTAGGCGACTCACCAGGCGAGGCAGTCTAACAAGCAGCTTCGCATGCTGTCTGAGAGCACCTTTAGATACAGCAATGAGGCTGATTCAGTCTATATATATGGGATTACTGATCGTAAGAGGAAACACTATTTTTGGCAATTTAGGTTTAGAGCCAGAATGTATTTTGAAACCACAACTGATACAGTTCGTATACGTATCATCACTTTTCAGCCAGGTTCTAAAAATTGTTTGAAGCCAAAGAACTCTGGAATTTTCCTGCATACCTCTTCAGGTACATTATTATGAAATTTTGTAAAAAAGCGGCCTGATGCTCTGCCCTTGTCTTGAAGGTTTCAGAATAAGCATTTCTTTTTATCTGAAAGAATTAGCAATTTATGAAGGAGGGTGTTGTGAAGTAAGAAAAATTGATCTGTTTTTTAGCTGTTTAAAAGTCATCAAGGGTTGGAAGCACTCTATTCAACTATAGTCTCTTGAATGATTTAACTGTATCTGTGTAAAATTTTACATTTGCATTTGGGTAGTTAACATCATAATTTTTCTGCAATATCTTAGGGATGATTTTGAAGAAGAAGAATACAACCAAGCTAGAGTGGATGTCCTGGAACAAATTAGAGAATTTGAAGAACGATTAAAAAAGATTGTCGCAGGGGATCTATCAGTCATAGATGATCTCACTGCTGTCCTCTTGGTATGTAAAATTCAGAATATTTTGTGTGCTAGTACTTATGTTTACTGAAATGTATTAATTAGTTAAAATAGCATTGCTTGAACGATTAACAGGGCCGTTAAAATTTTATCAATTGAGCTATCCGACGAAGGCTTATCTTTGTCTGGTACATATCAGATCTCCCATCTTACTTCCTTTTTCAACAGAAAAATATTCACAGCCATTTTTTTAAAAAATTTCCTGGTTTTTATTTTTTGTGCTAAGAATATTCTGTGAAAATTTCAAGCAATTAATGGCATTGGTTTTTCCTCATTTGATGTAATAAAATGGGAGCAGAGATTTTGAAACACCCTAAACAATATTCCTGCAATTTCATCATCATTATTATTATGTCTAAAAAAGTAAAATAAAAGTGTCAATCATTATCCTTGTATGAATATGTCGAAAATGGGTTTGTTAAAATAAGATCAGCTTTTTTGGTTTGTAACAATGCGATATTCCAGACCTCTCATCATATTTTATTCTTGGATCAGAGAACGAGGTACTGAACCCAAATTTCTTGAAGTCCCAGGATATTGTTGTAAAATATCGATGGTAACTAGGAAAACGCATACCTCCATTGCATTAATTCACAATTCTGTCCAAAAATAAGACAGGCCTTTTACTCCCAAGTGAAATATTTAGAGAATCATTTGAAGGAGATACAGTCAAAGAAAAATCACTTAACATTTCACAACTTAAAAACGATATGTTTTTCAGCAGGTTTTTGAAATTAAATGCTTCAGGGAGTTTATTTTGTGTCAATAAAAGCAATTGTTTTTTCTTCTTCCGCCATCGGTGTGTATTTATTTTCATCACTCATCCGCATAATTTTTTCCAGGCAACTCGGGCCGCTGTAGGACAGTCTTTCAAAACTCCAACAGTTATAAAAATGTTCGCTGGAAGAGAGGTGGAACAACTCCGAGCTAGATTGGTGGCAATTGAACGAGATTTAAAGCTAGACGCTAGTTCATTTGAAAAGAAAAAACAAGAAAAGGTAAGAGAATTTTGTGGTGTACATCCTTCTGATGTCAGAATGTATCTCAAAATTTTGACATTTTTAGTCATACATATGCACCCTTATATTTTAAGGTGCTCATTTAATTTAGCCTACTCTGAGGTCCATATCACAATTTAAGCGGTTTTTGTTAGACGGGCATAAGTCCAAATACTTATGAGCCTTAGCATCCTGCGAGCTGAACAAAAGCTAGGGCTCATACGTCTTTGGACTTACTCGTGTCTAACAGAAATCGATTCAATTAGGCAATATCATATCGCCATGAGCCTGAAGGGTATATCTCCCTTGGGGATGATCCTCCCCCTCTCCAGTGGGGCAGCACCTTTAACAGCAAACGCTGGACAATGCAGTGACTAGTAGAACTGTAGAAATGTATATTTTGAAGACGGGTTGGTTAATGGTAGAAAAATTGTTACAAATAGAGTGTTAAAATTTCTCCTTGGAGTTTCAAGTCCCGAAACCACGTCATAAATGTTTTTAATACCCAACGTAAATCTTAAACTATCAGCTGGCAAAACAAGACTTCAGATCATGAGGCGTCAGTTTCCTGTCCGACTAGCGTTGACTATTAATAAATCTCAAGGCCAGACCCTGGATATCGCTGGAGTGGACCTGCGGGATCATTTATTCGCACCTTCTTTAGTCAGCAAACAAATGTTTTCACTCATGAATGGCAGATGAAAATAACATGAAAAAAAATATAAATCAATTGATAAGTAAAAAACAAAAAACAAAAAAATTCATTTAGGTATGAAGAACTAATCAAGTGACTAAGAATCAATTCGATGGCGCCACTCCACTCCGCTTCGCGAGCCTCAAAGTTACCCGCGAAGTGGGTGACCGGGGGTGCAGAGGAACCCTTCTTTGCCTAACTGTGAGGCTAGTATGTTATGCAGTGGTATAACTCGATTTATTAGTGAAAGTTTTTAACAGTGTAAGCCATTTACACTTTAAATTTTAAAGAGAATTCTAAAACTCTTACTGTATTTCTCCTGTATTTATTCTGTTTCCATAATTTTCAGACCCAAACACAGGAAATATGCTGAAACGTTATCTCTTGAGAAATCTGTTGACCCCTTAGCAAATTTCTTATGCGCTCTCAGATAGGAGGGAGGGAGGGAGGCTAAAGAACTGTCTGACCACCCTGAGTTTGTTCCTGCCAAGAAATATTTTGCAAAATTGTGATTCGCTTACTTCCTGTTCACCTGAATTTTTTTGGTTTCTGTTTAGGTTGAAATCCTTAGTGCATTGCAAGCTCTGAAAGTACCTTTGTCTCAGCAGGAGTTAGGTTTTTTGAAAGAACACTCGAAATTAGATGGTTTTGCAGGAAGCGGATGTGAGTTTGTTCAAGCATCACAAAAAATTGGTACGTACCAAGAACTATATAAATCAGGGAATCGGTAGAACTTTCCGCCAAGTCAAAGAGGAATAAAATATGTTGCAAGACAGGGCCGGATTTAGAAGGCGACAAAATCTCTCATTTCCTGAGAGTATAGCAATTTCTAATTTTGTCGTCTTTCAGTGACACAAGAAACTACACCTTTAATTAGTCAAGTTAAGAGAGAAACCAAACGGAAACGGAAGTTAAAATCATTACTTAAACCACATTTAAGTTTATTCTCTTATAATTTTTCATGCAGCCATTTAATGAGTGTATGACAGAACTTACATTGATTAAAATCTGCTCTCAAATGTGACAGAATTTTGAGGTATGCTTTTTACTGAATTCCACTTACCTTCTTTTTGTTACAGTCGGGGAAAAAGCAGTTAGTTTGGCAGCTCATGAAATTCAAAATGCTATGAAGAGTTGAGATTCCCATTGTCATCCAGAACTCTAAAAATTATCAAAGTGACATTTTAGTCACAGCTAATTCTAATTTGCCTCACACATTGAAGCTTTGCTTGCATAAGTCTTGGCATTCTACGAGCACCGTAAGTTTTAGTTGCAAGTACTATATTTTAAGATGTATGTAATTTACCATAATTTGTACTTTTTCTACATTAATTATTTTGATGTCTTTTAACTCCAATTACCTCAACATGTAACAGGTTTTACAATTAGATTGATTCTATTCTCTTCAAAAATACTCAGAAGTCACTTTGAAAAAATCAATGGCTTAGAGGGCGAAAAATGCAAATCTCAGAATGCATGAGTATTGTAACCGAAAAATCTTGAAATTGAAGAAATGGACAGTAGCTTTTTTTTTAATAAAGCGATTCAATCAAGAATGCATCTGTTGTAAATGTCTCTTCTTAGCTGTGATATTTATTTTAAAACATTTAAATTCAATGCAAATTGACTTTGCAAAGCAAACAGTTGTGTTGAGATTCTAAATTGGCTTATTTGACAGAAAAATCTATCCAGTCCGAATCATAGATGGATATATTCGAGACCATCTGTATTCTTTTGAAAAATTATCTTTCTTCCAATGATATTTTATTTTCTACTTTTTGGTTGGAATATATTCTGGAAATTTTTGCAGCTCCAATAATTTTTTTGAGATTTTGATTGACAATCAATTCTAATTTTTATACCATTTGCAACTCTGACTAAAGTGTAGTGAAATTCAAAGTCAATTTTGTGTGAAATTTTTTATTTAAGACCTCTCTGTTGTAGAGACTGTTTTGTCTGTAAATATTCCTGTGACGATAGACACTTATGTCTTTCCATCGTTTGATTTTTGTTTGTTAACAAGTATAAAAATTTGTTCATTTTAAGAACCATCTTTTTTCTTTGATATATTCTCTGTCAAACCCTCTTTTATTTAACTTATTTATCTCTTTCAGTGTAATTACTACCTTACGTTTCTAAATATTTTCAAATCATCCATCGATATTTAAGCCTTTGAAAGTACTAATACTGTGAGCTGGTTCTTAAAACCGTCAGAACTACATACAAGACAAAGCTTTCAACGGATTGAAAAGTTTCTCCAAGAATGAAATATCTCAAAATCCCCAAGAATTTTTTAACGAATAAGTACTTGCTAGTTTTCTTTGGATATGATGTGAGACTGGACACTTTTAAATATCCCGATCAAGAGACATGTTTCCTGGTTTCATCTGTGATGTTTCCCAAGACTTAGTAAATTGATAACTACCCCTTGTAGGACCAACTGTGAATTTTAATTGTTAAAAAATCATAAATAAAAATTGTTAAAATGGTCTACTGTATGGAAACCCTTTTTGAAGTAAAACTGATGTGTAATTTACAAGAAAAAAAGTTATGAAAAAAATTGCATCAAAATCCTATCAAATTCTAAAAATCAATTCACATGGATGAGAACATTATCCTGAATTTTTAGGCATTTACTCCCATGCGAGGTCACTAAATTGAGCTGTAGCATTGGAGACTTTTTTTCAACTTCTTGAAATACCACAGAAGTTAGGAGAGAAAAACTTTCCACATCCGTGCAGAGGAAGCTGAGAAATATGAAGAGCAATGACTGACGACAGAAAAAGGGTTTACAATGGCTTTTTCAATACCTAGTATTGACTATGTTAAATTTAGACTTGAAAAAGACATAAAAAAATTGTAAAAAGTAGGAGTCAGGAAAACCTTTTTGTTTTTGTAGGTAAAATTTTTGTGAAATTTACCTTGAAAAGAAGTTATGAAAAATATTTGGCATCAAATTTTGATAATCCTAAAAATCACTTGTAGCATCAAAAAAGTACTTAAGTAAATTGCTTAAATTGCAAAGTACAGAAAACAACTATTTATTGTCTAATTTTTGTTAAAATTTTCTAAAATAAAATGATTGAAGCTTGTGAAAATACAAGGTGGCATTTTGGCAAATTTAAAAGCTTAAGGATTTCTTGACTCTCATTAACAGGATTTTTAAGAGTTATCTCTTCCAGATTTACTTAAGTACAGGTACAAGTTATGTAACTTTTTTCTAGCTACCAATGCCATATCGACGGTGTAAGTCAGCAATCACATAACTCGGTTTGCGACGTCGCAGACTTCCTGTCATACTTAATTTTTTAAACGGAAAACTACTCAACGGCAATTCTTTAAAACTGCCATGATTTTTCTTCACTGTGCGAAGAAAATTCTGCAAAAACTTTATGGATTGACGTCAATTTGTTCTCCTTTAAAAAAATAACATAGAGGCATTTTCAGACACCGCAAACGAGTTATGTGATTGCCGAATTACACCGCCGATATGGGTCCTTGCTTACTTTTAGGATAATGAGAAGATATGCTGAGTTGACCAAAAATTAAACAATTTATTTCAATAAATATAAAAATTGGAAAAATGAAAACAAAACTAGCTGGCCCAGAGGCTTACAGGCTGTTGGACAAAGTGGTAGACTCAACCAACATCAGTCAAGCACATAATTTGGCATACCATTGCTTAGAATTATGGCATTTGATATTAATACAGTGAGGGCATCTTGTTAAAAATTTAGGAGAAATTCGAGGGCCATCTTTCATATGAGAAACTATAATGTCTGATAAAGCATCAATGAAAAGTGGATGGTCATTGGGAGCAGCAACCCTTCGAATCGTAAGTCCCAATTTTTTCCCAAGATCATGGCCATACTCAATGTCCATCTCATGAAGAGTTTCTATGTGCTCATTCACAAATGCTATAGGTACCAGAAGGAAGTTTTTCTTCCCCTGTTTTGCGTAACCCTCTAGGGCTTCATCAGTGAATGGTCCAAGCCAAGGTAAAGGTCCGACTTTAGATTGCCACACCAAACTGTACGGATTACAGTAGTTTAGCTCTTTCATAACACCTTGAACAGTAGCACCAACTTCATAAGGATACGGATCACCTCTATTGACAGCCCTGAGTGGCAAAGAGTGAGCAGAAAATACGATGAAAACATCTTTCCTCTGATCCGCGGGGAATTGATCAAGTTCTGACTTAATTCGGTCAGCAAATGTTTTGAAAAGTAATGGATGAGTAGACCAGCGATCAATCAAGCTCCACTTGATGTTTGAGGGCAGCTTATTGTTAGAATAATAAGAAAAGATGTGATTCAAACTAGAGCCAGTAGTAGCACAACTATACTGGGGATACTGAGAAAAAATCAAAACTCTCTCTACTCCATCATTTTCAATTTCTCTTAGAGCTAGATCCGTCAAAGGATTTGCATACCTAAACCCAACATAATACTTGTGAGGTCCAGTATTGGGGGAGACTTTATCAAGCTTGTCGCACAACAGATTTCCTTGCTTTTGAGTCCATTTCAGAATTGGAGATCCTCCACCGATTTCTTGATACTTCTTCTGGACATCAGGCGTCCTTCTTTTGGCAATAAAGGGCCCCAGCTGACTTTGAACGGGTAGTTGAATCATATCTCTGTCTGTCATAATTCGTAAGAGATATTCACCAACATCATCTGTGTGTTGCGGCCCTCCCATGTTCAGCATTAAGATACCAGTTTTCGGGTTGGAAACACTTCTTTGGGAAACATCAGATACCGACGAGAATAGCCTGATTGAACCGGAGTTCAGGAGGCTTTTCAACTTGTAGCCGACCGACATCACTGAAATTTTTCTTTTTGAAGATACTCAGGAAAAATGGAATAATTTGGACGCACAGAGAAGGCACTGAAGAGAGTCGATCAAACAGGCATGATCACATTTACCTTGCAATGAAGAATCATAACAGACTAGAAAATACACATTCACAAATTAAACACATGTGCTGAGGAAATCATTGACCTATGATTCCTATGAAACACAAATTTGGATAGTTATCACATGTGCACTAGACAGAGGAATCTTTTTAGTTTGATAAAAAAAGAGAAAACAAAACAAAACTAAAGAGATTCATTCTCGGCAAGGAACAAATAACTAGGAGTTCAGGGACGGTTCAATATGCCATGTTCTCAAATACGACTTTCATTTCAAATTCCTATCGTGTTCCTGATTTTGTGCAACGTGGACTGATAAGTTATCAACAAAACCAACTTACACAAAAAGTTATGATGCGTACTGATTCCAGCTCCATTGTAATAATTGTCTTGAAGAAACTGAAAAACTGCTTTCAATCATCCAGTAAACTAGCAAATTACTGTGTTAGGTACGCTTTTCATGAAATCACTGTTTTTTTCAGTTTTTTTCAAAGTGCGCCTCATATTTCTATGATAGACATTCTGTGACATTTTGGGAGCTTACATGTTTGGTTGGCATCTTGTGACTCAACTTTTCGAGGAAAAACAGGAAAAAAAGAGGAGAGCATAAACTTTCTGTTCCGATAAAGACGTAAACATGGCTGAGAGTGTACCGATGTGAAAGTGTTATGAATGTTGTGATGATCCAAATTTAAGTCTCTTTTCTTCTTGCTCAGTGTTTCATTATCATTAGTTTCGTGCTTTCATCAGTCTATTTGGAGCTACAAGTCTATCAATTTACGAATGTGTTCTACAAGTTTTGAAAATGTCTACCAGGTCGCAATTAACCAAAGATTTGAATGGTCAGTATACAATATTACTATTTTACCTTCAGACTGGGTTAGTATTGGATGAGGATAATCAGTCAGTGTACAAAATTAGTTGTTTTGTCGTAAATGAACCCTGAAAGATGCATGTCAATCTTACAGTTTCCTCTTGAAATATCCATCGACTTAGTTTGTCACTCCACCCACTTAGGTTGTGTGTCATGTTCAACATTGTTTACTCACCTTACTTTATTCCGTTTTTATCAGCCAGGGTGTGCTATCTTCAACTTAGCAACTATTTCAATAGTCCCTTTTAGTACTCACTCTCAGCAGAAGTCTAGTTATTCGAGGAAAGGGATTTCTTATGCTGACTCTACAAGCACCTAGATGAGATGGACTTTTGTCTTCCACTCATCTAATTCAATTATTCTAATATTGCCAAAAGTACAAGCATTTTATTTTAGAAGCCAAATCCAATATCAACTGAATCATGTGATCAGCAGATTACCACCTCATATTCGTAGTTGCCTGAGGCAAAGTGCCCTTGTCATCATTAAATTATTATGCACCGAAACAAGAGCCAAATGCATAATAAATCTTCTATGCTGTCAACATTTTGTTGATTACTGAGTGATATGGAGCGTTGACGCATCGCATGGGTTTAAAATTCAGAGGCACTGTGAAGTGCTTCCTGCCACACTTCAGTATTGTCTACAATCTGTAACGTAAGGAATCAGTGTTATAGGAAGAAATTGAAACTTAATTGCGGAGGCAAGGGTGTAAATCTCAATTTTTAATCAGGATCACTCAAGGATACAGACTTTGGAATTTAATCAACAATGTTGACGTCCCATGGTGCAGCAGTTGTAGAGCTGAACCTATCATAGGAAGGTCCTAGGTTTGACTCTTAGCAGAGCAACTGGAGTTTGATTGTCTCAAGTTAAGGTCACCTTAGGGTGCTAAATAAGGGGTTTGGAGGCAAAGCATAGGACTAGCTCCCGAGGGCTACTAAAAATAGTGGGGGGAAGAAATGTATTCACAAGTTTTCTGAGGCAAAGTAACACTGTTGCTGCAACTGTAGTTTCTTATTTCAGATTCAAATTATCTTTACAGGCTGAGTCTATTAGGATCGTGAGATATTTACAGATAAATCCAAGAGGTTGAAAGCACCTGAAAAGATTTCCTTATTAGAAAAATAAGAAAAAAGATGTTGAAAATTCCTAGAGTGTAAGTTGTTTTCTTGTAGGTATGCCCATCACCTTAAGTTGGTACCTTAAGTAACTTACCTATTTATGTGGAAATGTACGTATTTCAGTAAGTAAGATTTTACCTGTAATAAAAAGCTATTCCGCCTTTCAAAGAAATTTTTCAATATCCTCTGAACTCCGAAGGTGCCAGCCATATCAGTAGACAGTATGATCTTGTTCAAACAAAGGTTTCCTTTTTTTTTTTGCAGAAAGCGTCAAATCTTTGCTGGGGAAACGAGTGAAAATATTATTGAAGAATGTTGTTAAACTTGAAACAAAAGGAGACAAGACTGAAAACAGGGTTCTGGTGAGTCATACTTATATTCTCTAGTCAGAGACGTTCTCTGGTGCAGCATCTGTTTTTTTAGTCCCATGCTTGCAACCTCAGGATATCTAGTTTTCCATTATAATGATAGCTTTTCTTTTTTTCGGCTTTTTAATTTTTTAAGCTGTTTTTTTTTTCAAGTAGCCTGGAAGGCTAATCCTGTTCCAACGTCCATACCGTACATTCACCATTCATATACACTCTCTGTCAACTTCCCTCAACAATCTTCCCTCAAGGGGTTGAAAGCTAAGCTTCCTTCACAGGGGGAATTTGGGCAAAAGCCAAATTTTCATACACATTTCTCCTTAGCTTAGTACAGTAATAATAATCATCGACGGTTTTTGCAAGTTTGCATCATTGCATTTTGACCAATTGAGTAATCCCATTTTAAATATCAATACAAAGAGGGCAAGCTGCCTCTTCTGATTTCAGTGGCAGATTCAAAGACAGCTTGAGGGGTTCACTTAGTGTTGCAGAATCAGATGATAGGGGACCGTGGGGGCCTCTCCCAGAAAATTCTTCAAAAGTATCCCTTTCCAAATCAAATTTTAAGCAGTATTGACTGAGGATTCATGAAATGTTTGAGTGTTCCTAAGGGATTTTTTTTTATCTCTTTTACTGTGATAATTCTTGAGAAATTACACTAATTACCTCAAGAGTGTGAGGCATTAGGAAAAAATAGCAAACAGTAAGAAGGCAGTAGTGCAATTTGGTCATTATACTATGCCAATATACTTTTAGGTATGCTATATGGACCGCATTCAGCAAAAAGGAACCATCGTGATTACAGTGTTTTCCAAATTGTGCAAATCCTTTTTTTTTCCCCTTTTAAAAACACTAAATATATGTACAGTTTTACAATTTACACAATATTTTCCTTCAAAATTAAACGTTTTTTGGTGGGATGCAAAAACTATTCGCTATTTTGGGAGATTTTTAGATGATTAAGAAGAAGCAAGATTTTAACAACATTGTTATTGCGCTGGTTCCTTTTTGCCAATTGCGATCCATTTGTCCTATCTTCCTTTTTTCTGCATCTCTCCCCTTTCAAAATTTTCATTTCCCCCCTTTTTTTGTAGCCCCCTCCCTGGATCCACCGCTGACTGAAATCGATTGTTTTTGTGGGGTTTTTTTTTTTTCGAAGAGAGTAGGGGTGTTTGACCTTTGTTTAATAACTACATGCATCTGTAATAAGAAAAAAACAGTGTTGCCAAATTAAAGGAATGGCCACCGATAATGATTGCGTTCGCTTCGCGTGTCGCTCTTCCCGCGAGCGTAGTTAAATCCGCGACACGGATGCTGATGCAGCGTTGCCAAGAAGCGCTCTCCGCAACAAAACATCGGAACTCTCGGACAACGTCTGGATGGTCGAAGTTCGATTTCCGCTCGGATTCACTCGTAAGAAACCGTCGGATCCAATCGTTTATCGACCATCGCTCCGGTCGATCGTAGAGTTAATGACTAATGATCCTTGTCATGGTGCAATCGTGGAGCGACTGACCGTGCGTGAGTCACTCGGCCCGCAACCTCGCCAGCAGACGACGTTCGCGTATCAGGGTGACGTCATCGGCGGAATTTCGGCGATAGCACGGAATTTCCGCTTCAGGGTGGATCCCCGATGACTGGTAAGAGGCTGCTCTGTATGAGGTGGACGTATGGGGGGGAGGGGAGGGAGTATGATAATCACGTTGTGTTTAAAGCAATCTCAGATGACATGACGTCGCGCATGGTTGCTGGAAGGAGGAAGAAGGGTAGGGGGCGCCAAAGTTGTGATCGAAGAGGCGCCTGATTGCGCGTTCCTGTCTAGGCGCCAGGTTTGCGAAAAATGCCGGATTTTCAGGCTGGTTTTGAGCGGCGGCTGGTTTTTTTACTTCTACTTTGGCACAGCTGAGATCCCGACAAGTGGCTACTAATAAGCTGTAATTGTCGAGTTTCGAGAAACGAAGAGGAGTCGCAGTCGGTACGCCTTGCGCTGCGCTGACTGACCGACTAACTGAACCCTCTATTTTGCGGTCGTGGTTGTTGCTATGTCAAGTTTTCACTTTCTCGCTCCTCCTTGTTTTCCCCGTTTTCTCTCTTTATTTTTTCTTTCTCTCTTTTTCTTTTCCCTCTCCTTCATGCCCCTGAACACTGACTAAAGACCTTACCATATACTGCCGTGCCAAAGAACAACGCCGTATGAGCCTTCAGGCATTGCCAGATTTCCTTTCTTAAATCACGAATTTCTGACAAAATTTGTCAACATTTCTCTTCCAATTTTTCAGGGGATTTTGTCCGTGGTTTGATGAAAAATGACTAAAAATTCCAAAAAAAAATATCCTTAACTTTCCTCGAAAAAGCTTTCTCGAGAGGAAATTTGGCAACACTTGAATGTTCATACGGCGCTTTTCCTTAGCACGACAGGATAATAGTACCTACTTCTTAATTTCCAACGCCTAAAATGTGGCCGGCGACCTAGGCCTTTATAATCAGGATCCCTCTTTAACTTCAAGAAGGGAGCCAGTCGAGGGGGGACCAGGAGAGCTTTTAGAAAATGAAATTCGGATTCTTTGGGGTCGATTCCCTACCCGCTCAAAATAACCGAGAAAACCGGGTCTCCATGAGACTGAGCGGTCATGATCTCCCTATGAGGGTACTGGTACGTATTGGTACAGGGTGTCTAGCATCAGGATTTTCCCAATTCTATCAGGATTTAATCCCGATTTCATCAGGATTTGAGGAAAAATCGGTCGTAAAATCAGGATTTGAGAAAAGTCGGTTGTCAATGTGAATTTTTTTATGCTTTCGTATACGCTTATACGTAGAAATTTTAATGTTTCACCGCAAAAAATCAGGATTTGGAAAAATTATGAAATCAGGATTTAGTAGTCAAAAATCAGGAGAAATCAGGATTTCATCAGGATTTCCCAAAATGAAAACAAAAAACAAAAAAATGGATACCCTGTAGAGCCTCTCATTACTTTTTGTCAGCCGTGAGTAATTGACGGAAAAAAGTTGTATCGTTTGAACGAGAGGCGAAATGGGAGGGATTTCAAACGGTTTGGCGGCGTGATAAACTTGACACGAGTCACGCGATAGTCAGTTTATACTACCGCCCCGAAGACATCGCTCCCACTAATAACGCTGCATCGTTAGTTAATCAGCGACGATAGCTTTTAGTGAGAACACTGGTCGATACAAAAGGTGATTTCATGGCTTCTCGTGAACGGGATTACTGGCTCTCAGTGATGAAGTGTTTCTCTTCCAGAAAAAAGGGCCCGACGCTACCCAGAGGCGGATCCAGCGATTTGGCAACACCGGACTTCCTCCATTTAAACCTGTGTTAAATAATCGATTCTTAGAGGGGCCAGGTGCCCCTCCAAGAATCGATACATTTCCACAGGTATAAATGGAGAAAAACAAGGTTGCCAATTTGCTGTAACCGCCGATGACGCTGCCCTCTCACGATCTAAGAGAGGCGTGACGACACTAGAGTACCTGTATAGGGAGAGTAGCGACAGATCGGTTCATGGAGGGCTTAGGGCCCAAAAGTGCAGCCACCCCTCTGAGCAACTTCTAACACACAAAATTTCACTGCCAGCCTACAGATTTCAATTCTAACCAAGATGGCTAAGAATGTACATAAATGAGCGTTCTTTCGCAAAAATAAGTTTATGCCAAAAGTAAACCAAATACATGCTTTCTAAACGACGGTTCGTAACAATTGTATTTGTAAATCGCTCTGGACATTCGAAATTCATAGGTTGGCTGCCCTTTTGGGCCCTAACTTTATTCGCGGAGGCATCGGTGAAGGCCTGATGGACTTCCGGAGTTTCAGATCTGTCGCTACTCTCCCTATACAGGTACTCTAGACGACACTTGCCTCAGAACCTCTCAGCAGGGCCGTCGCGTCGTTAGGGAGGAAAACATTTTCACCCCCACGCAATTAGAAACTTTAGCAGCTTCCCACCACCCCGGACCAATGAATGGGGCAGGGGTGCAGAAAGTGCTAGATCGACCGCTCGCGGAGCAAATGTGAAGGCACCTGAAAAGGTTTAAAAAATGTGAAAATCCTGCCCTCGGCGAAATATCCGAGGAGAGGAGCTCTCCTTCCGGCGTGATGTCCCGAGCCGAGCGTGGGAACCTCAAGCAAGGAGCAATCTGTCCTCTCACCGGAGAGGAAACCGTAGAAAGCTTTCGAAGTGACACGCTACAGTTTGAGCAGTGTCAGATTAATTAACTGTCCGAATCGTATTGGACCGCTCGTTTTTTCGGCGGGGTTACTGATCCGCCGAGAACTAGAGCTTCGTTTGTTTTCCCTTCTCACTCGCCCGGTGCTTGGTGCGCCTGCGCGGATCACCGAGAACGCATGTCAAAGCTGACAATGAGTCGAACCGGTTCTGAGTTTAAGACATTTTTTCGAGCCCCGCTTCACCTCTTTCGAATACCGTATTCCGTTCCAGCCCAAGACGACACAGTGCTACAATTAAAGCAGGTCAAACATTTTCCAGACTTCGGATAATGACATGGGCGGAACTTGGGGCATTCGCGGATCCAGCAAATTGGCAACATTGTTTTTCTCCATTTGAACCCACGGAAATGTATCGATTCTTGGAGGGGCCAGGTGCTTCACTGGAAAAAAAAACACATTGGATCTAGAGTCCAGACTCTTGAAAACATTGACTAGAAAAAATACTCTTGATTCAATCAGATTGAAGCTTAAATCAGAAGGAAATCCGCTCAAATTAAGAGGCTTGGTTCTTGATTTAAGCAAAAATCCGATTGAATCAAGAGTATTTTTTCTCGTTGATGTTTTTAAGAGTCTGGACTCCAGGTAAAATTTGTTTTTTTCCAGTGTTTGACAAGAATCGATTGTTTAACACAGGTTTAAATGGAGGGAATCCGGTGTTGATAAATTGCTGGATAGGGGGGTCGGGGGATCGCCCACTCCCCAAAAATCTACTCGACTTCTCCCAAGAAATGTGAGGGCTTCTGCGAAGTAAGTGCGCGACATTTTTTAATCTTGAAAATTGTAAGTGGATGAATTTTATGGCGAAAACAGCATAAAATTGCTCCCAAAGCGACTTGATTTTTCTAGAGGCCCTTCGGATCCCCATTTCAAGCTAGGGAAGTCTCCCGAACTTCCCTTTGCCGGCCAGGTTGGCCTAGTGGTCGGCGGGTCTGACTCTACGTCAATAGGTCCCGGGTTCGAATCCCGATGGTGGCGTTTAATTTTCACGGGATTGGCGAGTAGATCTGCTGAAACAGATTCTCCTCGGCCCTAATCCCTGAAAATTGCATGGAAATGCATGGAAATCCTGAGCATGGAGATCCCACGATGTCTAGGGACACTAAACATTGTCTAAAGTTGGCTGAAGGTGCTAGACACAAAGCCATTAAACCAGCAGGAAAAAAAAACAAACAAAAAAAAAAATTCCCTTTGAGGCAGGGGAGTCCTGCAGACCTCCCATTGTGGTTTGTCTGTGTTACTAGTATATTCTTATTCTCCTGAATCCAAAAATAACCTCCATCAGGGTGTCTTTTGGTCTAAGAATCGTGGGAAACCAAACATTTGTTAGGGAATTTATAATCAGCGGGCCGATTATTGAAATTTTAAAGCAGCCTGATAAGATATCGAAATGCGATATATTGTATGGTAAAGATGAGGCTGTGTCTTGTCTTGTCGTGTTGACATAGTTTCAGTAATCGGCCCGCAGGCCCGAGAAATCATAGAAGAACTGGGGAATTTTGTAAAAAGGCCGGGAAATTTGAAAAATCTTGAATCTTGTGTGTACATTGGGAAAAAAAAAACACAATGGATCTAGAGTCCAGACTCTTGAAAACATTGACTAGAAAAAATGCTCTTGATTCAATCAGATTTAAGCTTAAATCAAAAGGCAATTCGCTCAAATTAAGAGGCTTGATTCTTGATTTAAGCTTATAAATCTGATTGAATCAAGAGTATTTTCTCTTGTCGATGTCTTTAAGAGTCTGGACTCTTGATCCAATGTGTTTTTTTTTTCCAGTGTGAGACCGACCTATTTCGGAGCTTCCCTAAGAAACTGGCGGTCCTCCTACGCACAATTGGCGGGCCAGGCACCGAGGTCGTATAGGTAAGCGCGAGATTACCCGAGCTTTCGTTTGGAGATCCGTCTCCAGAGCTGCGATTTCTTCAACGGGTAATGAGTTTTTATTGTCAGGTGCTTTTTGTTCTCTAATGAATGCACACAACAAAAACAGATGGTATCTGGACAGGAGAGTCGGCTCCGTACCGGCTCGGAAAGTGAAAGCAGATTTAAAGTGCACTCACCGCGTTCTTCATAACCGATAAGTTACTCTGTTAACCTGATGTATGTACATGCATCGGCGCGTAGAATATTTATTTTTGCAAGTCTCCCGATCTCAAGTTATCTTTGCCAGATCATAGATGGGTATGTGATCGTCAGAGACAGTTATAAACCTCGCTCTGCAATTTTCCCTATTTACAGCGTTGAAGTTACTTTCTGAAGTAAACGCTCTGACTCGCCGAATATGACTCATCGCCGAAAGTATTAGTAGAGCAATCCTAACCTAATTTGTAAAAACTCGCCCCAACATTGTATGACATCATCCTCACCTTGACAATTTAACCTTAAATTTACAAAAATAGCGAATTTTTCTCTTCGTAGCGCAAAACCGTCAGTTTACTGATAGGCGGTTTTGTTCGTTAGTCGTCAACGTGTTTTCCTTGTTTCACTGGCGAAAGTGTGGCACAATAAATTCCTGTAAATATGTTTGTGAAAACTTTATAATGTTCTACTCCTACCATACTGAAATTTTGGCGGCGCGGTGCATCGTATCGTATCTCTGCGCTGCTGGGTGCTCTACGTTGCGTTGCGCGTAGTTATATGAATGAAAGTCTGTCATCATTTGAACGGCCCCATACAGAATTAGTCATCCAACGTGACGACTTGTTGTCAAGTTCATTGCTAAACTCGTTACGGAAACATTGAATGGATTGTGACGCCGGAGTCAGAAATCTCGCGATCCCTGGATATCCGGGAAAGGCGCGTGATATCATATGACAGAATTTTATGAGTTTATTTTTTTTGAAGCAATAATTGCCGCTCGGCTTTTATCGAGAAAAGTTAAGCATTTTCCTCGAGGATGCCGCCCATAGGCCACCTGTATTTTGCCGCCCCCTTCTCATTCGTTCTGAAACATCAATAAAAACCATCAAGTGAACATGCCGGAGGAGGAGGGGTGCATAAGACGCGTTTGCTCGTGTTGGACACATTTTTTGCGAAAGCCCTGTCAACACTACTAGCAAAGTTCACGGAACTTTGCACGAAAGTAAAGTTCCGTAAACCTATCTCTGTGTGGACAAGGCCTTCCATTTATAAGTATTGAACGAAAAAGTTATGAAAGAACAACCATAAATGTGGTTTAATAATTCTAACTTCCGCCGCCGCGCCGCGCTGACCGTACTGTATTTGGCGCAATGCGTGAAGTATTCCTACAGTCTTGTAGGCGCTATGCGTTTCACGCCGACCGGACCGCTGCTGACCGCACCTTCTCTGACGCAATGCGTGAAGTATTCATGCAGTCTTGTAGGCGCTAATATGTGTTATATGTATATGCCGACCGCCGCGCCACGCCGAGGGCTTCTCCTATTTATCGCAAGTCCTCGTCATCATTGCTCTTTGCGCCGCGCCGTTCCAGGCCAAATGAAAGGGGGGAAGAAGAAGAAGAAGAAGAAAAAAAAAAAAACTAACTGGAAAGCCGGGGAAAAGTTGAGGATTATTTGTATGTTCAAAATTTTAAGTCAGAGGATATTTAAATCCAAGGAAACTTGTCACCTTGCAAACACCAATGATCTCGAAAGGTCGTAATTCTGTTCGTTTTTGCCGATAACGGTCCCCCAAATGCACTATTCGGCAAGAAAATAATAAATGATGATACGATTTTTACACATTTTCATTGTAAGTAAATTTAATGAAAAGATTCAGTTGGAGGTTAAGCGTGTATCTGCTGATAAAATCAGTCGATGAATTATCGCATGAATAGTCTACATTCCATTTATATATTTATCATCAATTCACTTCTTAATTTTATTCAGTTCGATCGAATACTCAAACCGCCTTAGCTTTATGCAACAACGACGTATGAATACAACGAGAGACACTTTTTTTTTTTATCACAAGCGGAAAAATTGAAGGCGCTGCGGCTTTTTCAATGGTTTGGTCTGGATGCAACTATTCGTGTTCTCGGGATGTTTGTGTTGCATACACAAAAAATTGCAGGCGCTTTGGCTTTCTTAAGCTTAACGTACGGCTGTGGTTGTTGGTTCTCAAGGGTTTCCTAAGTACGTGACATTCACGATTGAGTTTACGATGAAATCCTCGGAGTTTGAATGAGCCGTGTTGAATCACGGCAGCATTGCCAAATGGTGCAAACTTTCCGCAAAAAACATTACCTCGAAGGCATCGCGGATGTCAGTCCCGCAAATTACAATTGATAACGATTCCGCAATTTGAAACGCTGCCATGGTGCTACGACTCATCAGTTATAAAACATAGTTTGAAGATTTTCAAGCTTTTTTCGAGGACGTATCTATGTTGTAGATGGCTTGGTTTGTCCCCTCCATGAACAGCCTCTGAAGGCTTAGGGGTCACTCAGGTATATACAGGATCATCCAAAATTCCCGCACGACTTTTTTGGAGGAAAAGCTCGAGTACTTGATTACGGTCATTATATTATTAATTTTGATGTTTCCTTTTATGCTATCTCTTTTCAGAATAATATGATTTTTTTTCTTTCTTTTTTTTCAGGTGTTCTCACCATGCCGCCTCTTCCTGCTCACGGCCAAAGTGCCGACCAGAGTAAGTTTTAATAGTCAAATAATGACTGTTTTAACCTTAAACAAATTAAGTATAAAGTCCAGATTTTTTGTTTGCTTTTCATTCATTCAGTTAAATGTATCCATCCTGACTCGAGTCCCTCATTTTAATCATAAACTTCTGGCTTTTTTTATTTTTATTTTTGTTTTTTAAACTATTTTAATTCCATGAGATAGATCGTTGATACAGACTGTCTAATTGTGCAATACAGTAATGATAGAATGAGTAACCTCATATCTCTGATTGTCTTTAATCAGGTTTTTGTTTCTTTGCATCATGTTTACGCCCTCACTGAGCAAGTCACGAGTAATGATTTTGTTGTTGAGATGGTTGAAGTCTTAAAATAAGATATATTATGCACTCATTTTCTTTTTTGTGGGTGCATGAAACCGAAGGGGATTTATAAATATTAATTATTATCAGTTAATGCAAATCATAGTGAAAGGAATTATATTTACAGCATACAATTTTACAGTATGGTGGCGTGAAATGAAGATTTAAGCTAAGAAATGGAAGAACATTTTGAAATGAAAGTAAGCACCTAGGTATTAAACAAAGTCCCACCAAATCATCTGGGTTGAAAGCATTTCTCCCGTCTCTTTAATTTCAATTTTTACTCCTATTTTGGGAGTGTAGTTGGCTCTCATGTTCACCTTTGTGAAATGTTTCCTTTTTATTTTATTCAACAGATTGATTCGCATTTTCACTATTTGGAAATTCAGGCGGTTGAAAGTAAAAAGCCAAACCATGTAAGTATATTCTCTGTACTCAATGCAGTTTTTTAATGAGATATCAGCCATTGGTTTTTTTAAGATGAAGATTTTTTCCCTACAAGCTCTGTACTCTTGACTCGAGTCTTTGCGTTTTCCCTGGCCAAAAAAAGGCGAATTGTACAGAGAATATGGATCGTAAAACTATAAAAACGCGTTTCTCGTTTGCGGCACCTGAAACTCACTGCTTCTAATTTATTTTATCAAAGGAGAACGAACCAACACTGTTGCTTGAAATTTTCACCGAATATTTTTCACGAAAAGAAAAAAGAAGGAGAGAAGTTTTGAGAAATTCTGTACAGTACTTTTATATTCTAAGTATAAATTACGATGAAAAGTCTGCATTGTTGCAAAAAAAATACGCATTTTTGTAGTTTCACCATTGATATGTACTAAATTTGTTTTGACCGAATTGGTTCTACGGATTGCATTTTTTTTCCAACACAAAGTGATTGAATTTTTTAGTACTCTTAATTTTAAAAAACCTGAGATAGTAAAAATGATTAACCTGATTTATCTCAGTATTCAAACTTACTCTTAACTTATTATTCACCTATTATTCAAACTCCTATCTAATATTTTCATTTTTGCCTAGCAATCAATTTTTCTTTTCTTTTTTTTCCTTTTTTAGTGAATCAATAACTAAAAGTGCACGTTTTTAAAACTCTGGCGACAAGTTCTCTTGGGGAACGCAGTTAGAGACGGCCTAAAAGTTGCCACTGTATACATTGTAAGGCCCCATGTTGAAGAACACGCAGTTTCTGCTATCTGTTTTGAGTCCAATACATCAACAATTGCTCTATCAAAAATGTTTTTTAATTATATTGTTTCCTCACAATCATTTATTTTCTTTTTCAGTTCTGCTTGACTGTAAATGACAAAATATATTCATTCCTAACAACTGAGGAGAACAGTAGTGGTGAAGTAGATGCCATGATTCAAGCTCTTGCCACTGCCATTCGAAATATTTTTCCTACAGTGCCGTTAACGTAAGACATTTTTTCCATAAATACATAGATCCCCTCCCCTTCATTCTGAAGAAGTACTGCTTAGAAAATTTAGGGATCATCTATAAGGTCATTATGAGGGTATATTGTCCCAGGTGCAAACATAAAGTATGGCCCACTTGACCCTTTTTGAGTTAGGTTGTCACTTTATGTCAAAACAACCAGGTGCGGTACATGATGTGGCTCAAATTTTTTATAAAGGGCCTGTTTGTCTTCATGCATCTCAAAAGCAGTCTCCCTGAGTTATGATTTTTTCGTTATAATTCCATATTATAAACTAAAAAGTATTTACAAATTCTAACATTAAAAACAACAAAGATGATATTTATCACTTTTTGTTTGAAAAATAAAATTGTTACTTTGTTTGATGCTTGTACTAAAAGTATAAATACTGTAGAATAGGTCCGCAAATCTTGCTGATCCTGAGTTGTCAATCAGTATTACTGAATGATAACAAAGTAGAACTCCTCTCATTCAGAATTTTGAAAACAAATTATTTCCTTGTTTTATTAAATGGATTAATGGACAGATGGATTGTACTTAAATAGATAGTTAATGGTCTTGCAGAATCATACTTTGATGATTCATATTCATAGTTAGGCTGAAATTATTGGTAACACAAGACCATGAAAAAGTGTACAAAAAATGCATAGTCTTTAGTTTCCATCGGCAGTGTAACTCTTGGCTTGTTGGTGGAGTCTCATAGTGACATTGTCACCAACTTTTGAATTTTTCTGTTTCAGACATGTAATTAGAAAAGTAGAAGTTGTGCCTCCGAAAAGAATCCAATTTGTAAGAGATGCAGAGCTAGCGATGCGGCATGGCTCAGAAGTCAGAGGGTTGGGCCCTTGCGGAGGGTTCTCTACTCAATATGCTTGTATGTGTGATTTCCATACTCTGCCTTACAGAGAGGAAGTAGCTTGGGTAAGTTTTACTTTTAGTTATTGAGATCTGTCTCTCATTTCTAAAGTTTTACTGTTGAATCCTGCTCGATATGTGCTAATATTGGCTTTCTTGAGATGATGGTATGTTAAGGATCTCATCAAACCTCCCCTAATTAGAATAGAAATCATATGGATCCTCTCGAGGAGAGAAACTGTTTAAGGTTCGAATATAAATACAACCCTGATATTGTTGCCAATAAGTCCTTTGCAAAACTTGCAGTTTAGATAGACCTCTGTTACTAGTTGTATATTGCACTAAACTGCTTATGATATTATTTTAATCTATCTTTATCCTGTTTTAGGATGTGGATACTATTTACCTCTCCCACGACACAAGGGAACTCTGCTTACAAGACTTTGATCATTTAGACCCAAAGTAAGTTATTGAAGACTTCTTCTCTAAAAATCTTCTGTTAATCCTTGTTAAGTATCCTGATTATAGTCTCCGTAACACTTATTTTTTCTTAGAGTAGGTGGTATATCTTTTCTTTGCAATCTTTTCCACTCGAGAAAAATCATGTGGGTACAGTATATTGACCAAGTGGATAAAGATGGACTAGCAAAAATTTGTATAACTTGGAAACTGAATGAGAAGCAACTATTCAGTCAATAGCTTATGAAATGGGCACAAAGTTGGCTCTTATTCCTCAATAACAATTGATATGTTAGTAACTTTTTTTATTTTAATTACTCAATAATTTTTTTGCTACTTTTTATTCTCATCTGTGTGCTCATAGGATTTAAGAGCCAGAGAAAAAAGACATCACAATAGTCATTCGTAGAAGGAAGAAACAATGCTTTGTGGTATTTAGTTTTAGAAGCTTTGTGTAGTCAAGTTTCTCAACTTTGATCCAGTCAAAGGAGAGTAAAGATAGTGCGTCTATCATTTGATATCGTAAAGTGCGAATACTTTGAAAGGAGATGGAAGTTACAGAAGATAAAGGAGATATTTCATTATTTAAAAGATGTCAGCATGATCGAAATATGAATCTAAATTTCAATGTATATTCTTTGGTCACTTTTGTCTTCTTCATTTGACTCATGCTCCCAGCTTGTCAGAACAGCATTACATCATTTTGCTGTAATGCTGTAAAATGTCTCCATCCTTTTGGAATATTAAACTTAATTATTCATTTATAACATAACAAGGGGCTCATTGGGCTGCTTCGCAGCCCCTTATTTTTCATGTACACCTTTCCCTTTCACATGTCTTTTTTTTAATTATTTATTTATTTATTTTCATTTAATTTTCTGGTTTGTCTTTGAATTGGTCCTAATTTTTTCTTTGAAGCAATTAACATAACAATTTTTTCAAAAATTGTAAGTTTATTTTGTAAACTTTAAATTAAAATTTTGTTTAAACCTTCATACAAACTTCTTTTTAAGCTTTTACCTTTATTTTCAAACTAAGTTTTAAGTATCGGTTTTTTTATCTTCTAAATACTTTACTCTGTTTCCCTTTTAATTGTTGCTTCTTCTTTTTCGATTTCTGCCCTGCTTTTTTTCCAATTTTTCCTTCAACTCTTCTCTTTTACGTTCCTCCTCTTTTCTTTTCTTTTTTTTCTTCTTTTTCTTCTTCATTGTCTGCTCCCTCTATTTCTTCTTTATTTTAATAAACATATTAATACACATTGAAAAGGAAATAACTGACAGCGTGAAACGTTCTGATTGGAAATGAGAAAGAAAAATTGGAGGTTATTGACTTGATGAGGAAAAATTGGAAGTAGGAAAAAGATGGAGCCAATCACGATTTTGGGGTAAAACTGGAAAAGAAAAAACGCGGGAAGATAATATGACAAAGCGTAAAAAAAATGTGGGAAAATAAAAATGTAAGTTGATGGCAGTTGAGTGTTGGAGGTAACCTCATTTAATGATGATTGTTGAATGAAAACAGCCGATAAAAAGACAGCAAATAGTAAAGTAAGTTGCGTAGCAACAAAACTTTTCCGAAAAACAAAAAAGTAAAAACCCCTACTTCCCCTCATCCAATTTATGAGTTTTTAGGGATTTAAAAATCGGGGACAAACCCCAGAAAATAATTTATAATTTTCCCGAAGCATTGAGTACAACACCTTTCAAATGAACCAACGCCCCTCGCAATTAGTACAGAGGTTAATTCACAATTTCATTCTATTTTTCAATTTATATATTAAGCATTTGGTTGTTTTTTTCCAGAGATTTGGTGCCAATAATTAGTGCTTTAGAGTATAATACTTGGTTTACAAAATTAAGAGCCAGTAACATCAAACTCTCTCACGAAGCCTTAGACAGAATATTACATGTTATGAAAAGGACGCTTAGTATAGAAGAATTGTATTTAGATAATTTAGGTTTAAAATCGTAAGTATCTCTATCATTCAATACTATTTCTGATACAAATGTATTCTTTAATTTGTTAATACAATTTTCTTGATGGGCACATAGTTGTAACATATTTGCTGCCATACTGGCATAATAGTATCCATTTTGATACATACCAAAATTGTTCTAATAACTCCTCAACCATTGCACTTTCTGAACCACTGAACAACACTGCTATGACAAAACTATGAATCTAATTCACCAAAAATTGTAGCAAAATACTGGAATTTGCTGCCTTCTCTTGCGCTACAACCCATCTTTAATGTCAGCGTGATCAATGATGAAGAAAAGTCTAAATTTTAAATTAAGGGAAACTGTATAAAAAAAAAAACCAACTATTTAAAAATAGACAAATAATTGTTTCACTTAGGCTATGTTACAATTGCCTTTACTCAAGAATTTGTAAATGCTTGAAGCTTTATTGATATAAGGAATGTTTCAGAGACTAAGATGAATTAAGAAATCTCAAGACAGGATAACATTCATTAATTTCATCACAAACTAAGAAACCAAAATTCCATTAATTTTGATTCTAGAATAATTGATTTTTGATTTTTCTAATTAGATCAATTTTGTTCTCAATTTTTTTTTAAAAAATCATTTATTCCAAATGAGTGTGGAAAGGAATACCTTTAAAACTCTTGCCTCTCAAAATTTGTCTTCTTTTTGGAATTGTGTGCGTCAAGTAATGTTTTTCTTTTCTCATTGCAGGGACTTCTCACACAAACTATCTCTCTCCCTAATAGCAAATCCAAATCTGGCATTGCACACTTTAGATCTCTCAAATAATTTAATTGAAGATAAAGGTAACTTTTTTTTTGTATACTCCACTCAACTGACCTCTCTAGATTAAATCAATAAAATTAGTTAGTTAGTTCTGTTCTTTCGTCGCAGGATTTCATTTCAAACCCACCAAGGAATCTAAGTTTCATTCTGTAGAAAAAGTTGAATCATTTTAACGACAATAGTTTTGCCTGAAGCAACTGTTCGCTCTCTTTCTAGACCTCTCTTTTATTTTTATTTTCTCTGTTCCATTAATACAAGAAAATTTCAAGTGGCAAAAAGTATTTTCAATTGGATATTTTTGTAACGCAAGTCCTACATATGTATACAAGATGCCTCCAACCACCTGTACCAGGCTTTTCTCTCGGTTACCTTTGATTGGACGAATTCAAAGACTGTAGGGACAAATAGGGGACTAACCCCAAGAAATCCGAATTAAATCTTCCTGAAACCCCTGCAACTGGTCTTGGAGAGTAATAAAGACGGCCTGACGCTAAAAATTAGAGTTCTGGTCTCAATTTTTAAATTATTTTATCCAACTAGAAATTTTTAACAAAATCCAGTATAGAAAATTTTAACAAAAATTTCCAGGGAAGGAGGCTCAGGAAAAATGAAATTCGGATTACTTGGGATCAGTTCTTTCTTTGCTCCTTCGGACCTTGACTAAGTGCTTGGTAAGGGTGGTCTAGGACATTTTGTATGTCAGCAAATTGAAGTTTTCATTTTTATTTGAAACCTTTTGCAAACATCAACTACAGTCTTGAAGGTTGGGGGGAAAATGTGCTTCTAATAAAGTACTGTAGTGTACAAATTCAAAGTTTTTGACACTCTAAATGTTGCAAGTTGCAAGATCAGATATTGTGATGTGGACTGAGGCAAGGTTTTAAGTTTTTAAAGCCAGCTGGTCTAAAATTAATGAAAAACATTTTATAACTGTAGTTTTACTCTCTTCTAGGTGCATCTACCTTATGTGGATTTATTGCTAAGGTTACACAAGGTGGGAGAATTTCTTTTTGATTTTTGTTTTGTCGAGGCTTTTGTCATGTTTCTCATTTATTGCTGGCGCTTTTATCGTGCTCGTTCCATTTGCCCCTGCTTTATCATTAATGTCGCTTTGCTTTATTTGTAAATAATTCATCCATGTCTAGCCATTTCTGTCTGTTTTGCGTTATGCTGAAAGAATCAAGATAAAATCAATTTCTTTGCCACATGTTCATGAAATTAGTAACGCAAATAAATATTGATCATTGGAGACAAGTGTAACCACCGGATGCATTAGAATTTTTGTAGTAAAAGTTTCTAATTGTGGTAAGGAGTAGGGAGGGCGCAATTGTTTAAGTGCAAACGCAGGTTCCAGAAAGCTAGATTTTCAAGGAATCAGGACTTTATTGCTGCAATTGTCAACTTCATTTTTGTCTTTTTGAGGAGTGCAACTGGAGTATTGATTTTTCAATTTTTTTTTTCTTTTTGAAAAGTGAGTATGAGGCTCACCTCATTTTTTTCCTTTCAACATTCTGTGGATTTTCTTTAAAGCTAGGATAAATTTCAAAGCAGTAGTATGAGGGCCATCCATGAAGTAAGGTTTCCCATAGGATTTCTTACGAACTATCAGTGCTAGGAAAAGAAAACCTATCATCCCATTCAATTTGATGTACTCTCAGCTTTAATTTACTAAGCCCTCTTTTTTTAAAAATTGGGCCTCAGAAACCGTAATAGGTTTAGTGTTGATTTCCAAGCAACTCCTTCAAACTTGAAACTGAAAGAGTTATGCTTTTTTGAACATCTTGCTAACTGCCAACTAAGATTTCTAATTAATATTGTCTTCATATGCATTGTATGACAATTATCTTTCCACATCAGTCCAGTAATCACATTCTTGGCTGATACCTAATTATTTGTCAGCTCTCTTTGGAAGTTCTACTATCCAATAACATTTGTCGGTGCTGCAATTTTTTTTTTTTTTTTTTTTTTTTTTTTTTTTTTTTTTATTTTTAATTTCAAATGAATATTTACCCTCTTCAAGTCACAAGTGCTTTTCCGCAACTGACCAATGGGCCTGTTGCATGCAAGAGATACAGCCGCGCGAATAGACTTTTTAGAGGTTAAATGACACGAAAATTACGATGGTCACATTAAAAAAGTCTGAAATACACTCCTCACTGCGCAATTTGCGTTGTCAGGAACGCGCTTTTTCAAATTTCCCGCGTCTGGGGGCAGTTTTCTAATCACCGGAAACGAGCAAACGGCGGGCTCGGTGATTTCCGGAAGATGCCGAGTCGTTGTTGTTGTTGTTATTTTTTCCTTCAGTTTGTTTACAAACCCAACGTGATCTCTTATAGTGGTCCATATACGCTTTATGCGGTAACCAAATCGATCAACTTTTAAATATCCAACGCAATCCTTCTACATTTCATTTCACGATATCACAAGCTCCGATTTTTAGGTTATGTTGTCAGTTTTAGTTGACCGGAAATAGCCGCGAGTTGCCGTTAATTGTTTCCGTTAGAAAACTGCCCTCAGACGCGGGAAATTTGAAAAAGCGCGTTCCTCACAACGCAAAATGCGCAGTAAGGAGTGTATTTTAGACTTTTTTAATGTGACCATCGTAATTTTCGTGTCATTTAACCTCTGAAAAGTCTATTCGCACGGCTGTATCTCTTGCATGCAACAGGCCCATTGCTTTGTAACTTTTTCATTGTGAGGTGGTATTGTGATTCGCTAAAATTTGCTGGATTTACATGATTTTTGGTTAGCAAGTATTTGGTCTAAATAACATCAATCCTGCTTTTTATTTTTTTCATACTCCTAATTTTTTCTCCAAGAAGTATAATCTTCTGAAAGCTCCATATTCACTATTTTCTAAAGCCAATCTTCTTGAGTCTTACAAGACTTCAGGATCTCCTCTCAAATGCTAGGGTACCATGCACAAGTTTCATACGCAAATCTCCCAGTCATGCTTCTCAGAATTGCAGAACACTAAAAGTCAATGCTCTACATATGTCCCAGAATTAAGTCTTCGTCTCTTGGAGAGTGGATTGGTTTTACAAATCCAGCAAGATTTATTAACTGGTCGGTTTCTGATTGCTTCTGAAACGTATTGGGCTCGAGATTAAAAGCTGGAGGACCCAACCAGAGGTTTATTTACTTGAGGAAAACTTACAACAGACAATTTTTCTTCATCTGAATGCAGGCACTCTTACAAGTTTTCGTTCACACTTTACAAAGCTTAGAATTGAGCCCTTTTACTCATCATATCTTTAAGTGAACCTGGACTAATGTCTAATAATATTACCAGGCTCGGAAAATGGTGTCCCATCTAAGCCATATAAATCCATCTCCTTTGGCCGTCATGACAGAGTCCCCCTGATGTTTTAATTAGCGGATGGACAGATCACCAGCTTTGTGAAAATTTGTACCCCCAAATGAAGAAAAAATTTTAACAGACAAAATATACATGGTCAAACTTCTACGGACAAGTGTCTGTAAACCAATACAACTTATCTTGTAGGTAACTCTTTGAAAAAGTCTAAGTAATTTTGGCCTTCCACATCGTTTCAGTTTACTGAAAACCGTTGATTTGAACCGTTGCTTCTATAAAAAAGTTTCTGTGCACAGTCTCATCATTCAATTTTTTTTCTGTTGGAAACAGCTGCAAATCACTTAGCCAGCCCTTTGGCTAAAATTCCTAAAGGATTAATTAACCTGAGTCTTTCCCGCTGCGGACTATCTTCCAAAGGAATCAATCAACTAGCGCATGCTTTATCCCTGAATAAGTGCATGCCAACAACTTTAACTCATCTCAATATCAGTGATAATTACTTCAAGGATGATGTTACCGTGAGTAAATTTCCTATACCTCATTTTACCCCATCAGTGTGCACTGAGATGTAGAAATGAAATTGCCCCAAAACCGCCCCTATCAGAGGGAGTTCTTAACAGGAATAAATAACCAACATTTTTATCTAGTTTTATACTAATTTGAGTTAATGTGCAGGTGAAGGTAATCACTGCAGTCTACTTGTGAAAATCTGCATTTCTGGTAGAGTTATAGTGCCCTGAAGATTGGGGATGATGTGAAAATGTAGTAAGTAAGTAGTCAGTAGTTGAGAGGGCCTGGCTGACTGTCAACGGGCGATTCAAAATGATGAAGAGTAAATTATTAATGTAAAATTTGTTGATTGCAGAACCTATGCAGCTTTTTGGCACAACCAAACACAATCACACACTTAGATATATCCCGTACAGATTGCCCTCTAGAAACGGTAAGTTTGTTCCAGGTTTTCTCTCTTATCCTCTGTTAATAATATTTTGAAAAGACAAATTATTTTGAAATAATAATCTCTTCGACCAAACTACACTTACTTATATCAACTATACAAAAATTTTGCCACCTCTTAACTATTTAACCTTTTGAGGAATAAATGTTCTTCCCTGCAGTTCTCCTCCGATTCTCATCATTTTTGAAATTGTGGATTTTTTTAAATAAAATACTGAGTTGCACAACATTAGTATTTTTGACACGTGTATATGCCATTTGGTTGAAAAAAGCTTTCACAGATTCGTGGGTACAATGTCCAAAGTACCCACTTTATGCTGAAGTCTAAGTCCTAAAATATTTGAAACTGCTGATGGAGAGTACCTTTTCCCAAATAAACAAGGGACAAGTGAGTGTCCTAGTTTGACAATATTTTCTGTGAAGTTGTAATTTTATAGAAATTTAATGAAAATGAAGGCCTTCCAAAATTTCCTACAATCCTGAGCTACATGATCTGCCGCGCCATGAATTTTTCTCTTATAACCGTTTTGTGTTTTTTTCTCTTTTTTCCACAGGTTTTTGGAGCTCTTTTAAGGGGTTGCTCAACTAACCTTGCATTTTTAAATGTATCACATAATGTATTCAGTACAAAGAAGAGCAAAGAATTGCCACCCTCCTTCAAGCAATTTTTCATCTCAACTCTCAGTCTTAAACACATCAACATGTCCTATTGTAAATTACCTTTAGATGCTCTCAAGTAAGTACCTTGTGGAACTTCTCGGTAACCATTCTTAAATAGAAATTAAATTGTATGCAAATTGTTTCGTTAGAGGTGGTTCTTGGATTGAAAGTGAAAATTCCTGACAATGAAGGCTCCATTGTTTTGACTGGCTTTATAAAACTTGCAATTGGATCAAAATATAAAGCTGAATTTAACAAATGTTTTGCCAACAATTAGTTTCCTGGTGCCGGAGGGAAAGAAGATCACTTTCCAAAAAGCAAAAAAATTTGTCTCACATAAACGAAAAATATATCTGCTAGTTATTTGTAAAAAAGTATAAGGGTTTGGTAATTATTAGGACAACTCCAGAGGGGAGAGTTGGGCTGAATATCTCCCTTTTAAAAAACCATGTTTAAAGAAACCCAACAATTTCAAAAGTATTTGTGGTGAAAGAAACAAATAATAATTTTTATTGAATCTTTGTGTATAATTAATCTACTTTTGCCCTCTATATCTAAAATTGTCATTTTTGTTTTTTCTTTGTTTCAGGAATTTGCTGTTGGGATTGGCATGCAATGAGTCAACTACAGACATAATTTTAGATATTAGTTGCAATAATCTGGGTTCACAAGGAGCCCATGTTCTAGAATCATGCATCCATGGAGTGCGATCTATCGGTGCGCTAGATATAAGTGATAATAATATGGACGTCGAACTAGCCGCTGTGATAACTGCTGTCAGCAAAAACAAATCAATAAAGCACTTTCATCTTGGTCGGAACATGAATAATATGAAAGCCAAACACATTGTCTGCGTCATGGATGCTCTTGTAACAATGATCCAAGAAGAAAGCTGTGTTTTACAAACTCTTTCCATTCCAGACTCGAAATTAAAATCTGACCTGTACACACTAATCAATGCTCTTGGTAGTAATCAATGTTTACAATCGATTGACATCAGTGGGAATTACATGGGTGATGCAGGAGCCAGACTTTTAGGAAAAGCTTTGCAGATAAACTCCCACATTAGAAGTATTCTGTACGATAGGAACAATATTACTCTTCAAGGTTACCATGACTTAGCATATGCGCTCGAAAGCAATTACACAGTTCGCTACATGCCTCTTCCCCTCTTTGATGTAATGCCCTGTATGAAGTTGTCAGCGGAAAAAACGGATGCTATCATGAAGAAAATCCAAGATGTTTTACATAGGAACGTCTCGCCAAAAAAATATAGCAACGGTCAAGCTTTCAGATTACAGCAAGGATTTTTGTTAAGTTCAACGCAGCAAATGGTCGATCGTCTGGTTGTTCAAATGCAAGATACAATCAAAACTTTAGTACAGGAAACCACCGACAAAAATGATGAAATTAATTACGCCACAGGACTGATTGAAGATGCTGATAATTCAAAACAATTGCTTCCTCGGTTGCATGAAGTGGTTTTGAGGAAGGAAGAAGCAGGACATCCTATCGATTTGAAAATGAAACTAATTTCCGATGAGCTGCATGCTGTTATCGTCAATTACCTTCATGAAACTGTTGAAAGCATGATGAGGTTTGTCCTTTTCCATTCTCTTGAGCTTGTCTTTATTATTTTTCCACTGATCCCTATTTTTTCATCTAAATAGATTTTTGCAATTAAAAAATACTTATAAATGAATATATAGCTCTAATTACCCAAAAATGACAATGAGCTCCTTAAAAAAGTCTAAAATTTACTTGTCAATGTACAATTTGCAGAGTCTACTTGAAGCTTTTTCAAATTTCTGTATCCGCTAGCATTTTTTTCTCCGTTGCTCTACAAAAATTTTGTCAAAATCTGCTGAACATTTCTGGTGGTGTTATCCAATATTCAGCAATTTGATTAGTAAATGCTGCTCTGTCAAAAATAAAGCTACGCTTCAAAAATGCAAACTCTGTGTCGCTCCTCAGGGAAGCAAGAAAGCTCCTACTCAGAGAGGTCTTTTATAGTGTTGATAAATTCGTTGGAAAAAATTATATGAACCTAATCAATGATGATGTGAACCATGATCAATTATAATTTAAATGTTATTGCATCAATCTTAAGCTCGATGCTTTTCTTGACTAATACTTTAATTTCTTAATTACAAGAGCTTTTCTACAGTTGAGTAAAATAAATAAATGAAACTGCCAGCAACCAGATTCGTCCAGAGAGTGAAAAATGTAAGAAGAACTGAAATATACTAACAATTTTGCCAAATGTTCTCAATCTTTATATTCAATCAAAGAGCAGAAAAACAGACCAGATAATTGAGGATCCTGATAAAAGCAGAGAAAGTAATCGAGGCTCTACTGTAATTCATTTTTTCTTTATTTTCTGTTTGAATTCTTTCAGGTGTGCACAAGAACAGTGCCCAACCATTCTTGGTGATGAAAAAGTTCAAAATGAAATAAGAAAAACTTGCCGGGATAAGAGCGGCATCGACCCTGAGTATTTGCGATCCATTATTCTGGAACAATCAGGAACTCATATAATCAACCGGGTCAATGAGCTCAGCTCAACTGTGGCTGCCCATGTGTCTGATCGTGTCACAGATGAAGTTATCGATTCTCTGTCAAAATGCCTCAAATCTTTGGTATGGAAAACTAAAGTTATCATTGATTTAAAAAAAAAAGAAAAAAAAAGTGATCATTGCCTGAATTGAAAGTGACTCTTATCTGCCATGTTAGGAGGTAGTATTAGTACATTTTGTCATGCCCTGTATTGCCAGGCAATAAGATTATCATAGTCCATGACATATTAACCCCATTACTTTTTTCCGTAACATGGTGATAATGTGTTGGTGTTTTTATAGTTTTACAACATCTGTGCTAAAGTTTTTTTTTTTCATAGTTTTAGTCCAGCAGATTGCTAATACCTCCTCTCATTTTTCCTGATGAAGGTCACTCAAAAGTAACAAGAATGAAGTAACCAACTAAAATTTCAGGTGTAAAAAACTGGAAAAGATATACGTTCACTTTGGTTTCTAAAAACTGAAGTAAATAAAAACTTAAAACACTTGTGCTAAAGCCCCCATTCTGTAAAAATGAAGGGATACAAAAAATTTGCCATTGATGAAAAGTTTTAATATTTTTTTGGTCTCTCAAAAATCGAAGTCAAAACTCACCCTCTCTAAGGGGGTAGCCCCCTAAAAACCTTCCACTTTTGAGGGGCAAATAATACTTGAAAATTATATCTTGTGGTCAATTAAGGTTACTACATAATTCAAAATCTCGAAGCTCTTTCGAAACATTTCCGAGTCACAGATAGTGGACTGGCAGTCTAAAACACAATCTATACAATAAAAATGTTGCCCCATTTTTTCACGTTACCCCTCTGTTCCTTTTTTCCAAATAAAGAAGCATCTTCTACTCATGCTTTACTTCTTATCTTTCCTTTTCTTCATCTTTCCTTCTCTTCATCTCTTAGAAGATACGTTTTAAAAATAGTATGTATTTTCAGTTGGGCGAAAACTGCAGGAAACGGTCATCTACGCCTGATGTTCTAAGAACAATGTTCCGTGTCAATTCTGATTCTTCCCGTGTCGATAGCTTTACTGTCTCTGATAGCAGTCAACTGTCAGACCCATCTCCAGTGGTGAGTTTTATTTTTTCTCAATTCCTTAGTAAACACATGTTCACCCTGAATTTTTCAGGAACGATATGTTTGATGGTGAGTTTATTTATACAAAAAATCAGTGTGTACGAGTCAAGTTCGTATGTGGTACAAATTAGAATTTATTATCTCAGCCAATGTTTTAATGCTGTGTATGGAAGTATCACGCACTGTTGAAGTCAGAGTAATTTTCCAATTGTTTTTTCATGGGAACTAAGAAAAAAATTTCTTTGGTATTGCCTAAAGTTGGTATATCTCAAAACTTGGGTTAATTCTAGTCCCTGAAATTGGCTCATTACTTTGTGCAGATGCTGATTCTTATGCTTAAAATTATAGGTTATAACCATTTACAGGTCAGTCTCTTAAAGACTAAATTAACATTTACTCTTTTCCTCTAGTAACTAAAGACCTTGCACTTTCTTTGAAAAAACAAATGTTGATGTAAGGCATATTAAAAGAACAGCAAGATTATTAGGTTGTAGTAATGAATCAGGCTTGCTGCGGAAACACTTGAAAAATGCAATTTTACAAGTCATCGTCACATTCCCATTAAGACAGTCAGCTCTTACTCTAAAAACGGTTCCCAGAAAAATGCTGTTGAGTTTGAATATTCTTAACAGAGGCTCCACTTCTAATGCTTTAGGTAAAATCCTTTCTAAAAGTAAGTCAAAATATGCTTAAAATCGGAAACTGAATTTTCTTTAAACTTTTCGTGGTGTCTAGCGAGCGTCTCAGCATCTAAGCTGAGCATCTGAAGCTATCATCAGAGCATCCAAAGATCAGCGTCTCTCTCAGGAAGTTATAAGGTTCTAAAGTCTGAAAAGTTTATTTCATACCATTTGCTATCTCATGTGTTGCCTTAAACATGCTGGGATCTTTTGTAAGCAAATGTCCATGCAGCTTATCATTAATTTTCTTTGTAAATTATCCTTGTCCCTTCAACCTGTCATTATCAACCATCGATTGTTCTTGAAAAAACGAAAACAAAAATTGATCAGTAATTTTCAACTTTTATTTTTTCATGATGTCCACAGAAATTGGAATATTTAAATTTGGTAAGTAATTTTTGTAGAGCTCTGCCATAAATTGGATTTTTAAAGGGGAAGAATTGTTATTTCTTCTGTTTTCCATTTACGATTCTACTTCTTTTTTCTATCTTAGTTTGTTTTATTGATGCAATTAACATTAATTTGTACTTATGGTTCTCTTACTCTGTAGTAGGATTTGTTTTTACTGATGTGAGAGCTACAGTTCTTTTAGTAATTTTCCCCCATGGTGAATTTTGCTGATGCTTAATTTCCTAAGTCTTTTTTTTAAGACCCTACAAGAAATGATGTGAAGGTTCATATAAAAACCCCAGAAGCCCCTTGAAAAGCAATGGCAAAAGTTCCTGTCCCTTCTCCCCTCTTTTCACTTCCAACAAGTAAAGCACTATGAGAACATGAAAAGAAAATTCTCAGTTCTATGACTTCCCAATATTCATCTTTGCTTTTAAAATAAAAGAAAGAGAGAAGATGGATTGTTATGAGTCGATTGTGTCTATCAATTTTATTAAGTCAAGTAATTTTGTTTAAGTAAACAAATCAAAGTGTGAGTGGACAAACATGCCAAGTTACTGCAAAATTACACAACTGACCAAGTTGGTGTATTTTTGTTCTCATCATCCTTTTCTAGGCGTTGTTTTGTTTAGAGCACATCTGCTCACGATTTTGAAATGTTGTTTCACGTGAAGGTCCATCCATTTATAAACAATACTGAACTGAATAAACTAGAAAAAACGAAGTTAGTGCCTTTTGTTCTCACACTCTCAGACAGTCTTTATGTACTTCCAGAAATTAAGGTCAATTTTGACCGATATGCTCAAATACTAATTTTTTCAATTAAAATAAAAATTATCTCATCCATTTAATACTTTCTCTCCCTCTAACAAAACTTTTGCTCTCTCAACACGAGACTTTGATTCGTGTACTTAATTGGAAATTGTGTGGATGAATTTCTTGTGTTTTTTCTTTTTAGGTAGATCTTGAGAATTTTGGTTATTTATCCTATCCTATCCTAATTACTGTTTATTTTCCCCATTCTCCATGTTTTCTTCTTATGTAGAAATTAAACACGTTATAGTTTTATTAATTTTAAGCTTAATTTTTATGGTTGGTTTGTAATTCTTGATTTTGAGTTTTCTTTGCCCATAGCTTAAATTTTAATCTTGGCAACTTTTAGCGAAAAAGTCAAAGATTTTTCCTAATTTTTTTAATTTCTTTCTCATAAAAATCACTTAACCCTAACCTAATTACTCATTATTTCATTTACATCATACCAGAAAGTTACATGTCTCATCTTAGCAAAAAGTGGAGCAATATTGCATTAGTTGAAAATTTCTCAACATATCAGCTGAGGCTCATGTTGCCAAAGAATGTAAGACTTGGCATTGGTTTCTAGTGTAAGGATAAGAAAATATTGCTCAACATATTTTAAGCAATCATATCCCCATTTTCTTGATTAAAGTTTTTAATTGAATTGTTTTGAATATCATATGCAGTAGCAATGTCAAATTTGTGAACAAATGACACTTTTTTTAAACTGTAAAATCTTCCCTCAAATTTGAAGGCTATATGTTTTTTTACATTTGTCAGGTGAAATTGAATTCTAGGCAAAACTGAATTGATCCAGAAAGCAGAGTTAATTTTGCAGAATAAGTGCTGAAAATCTATGAGAAATCCGTCTCCTAATTTTTCTCAAACTTACCCGAGTTGATTAGTGTTATCAAATCCTTTTGAAAATCCAAGCAAAATCTCACAAGTCTCTCAGGAAAATCTTCTCTCTCTCTGATTTCATTCGCAGATTTTCATTGTAGACCCATGAAAGATATTCATTGGTTACTTGTATTTTTCAGGCAACTCCTCACTTATCCTCCAAGCGGAAAAGTCTTCATGGACGGAAACTCAGGCCTAAATCTGTAGTTGACAGTGTAGAAGGAATGTCAGCTGATGATATTCCGGATCTGCTCCCTTCTTTACCTACCTCAGCTGAAGGTGTGTGTATGATGTATCTCAATCTACTGCAAGAGTATCAAATTTAAATTATTTGGCACATGGCTACCAAAAAAAAAAAAAACGTAATCACTGCAGTGAGCGGTTCCTTAATAACCAACCAACAAGGACACTTGTCATTGAAAGGAACAGACAGACATATTTTAATGAGTATATCTATAAAGATAATAATAGAATAGCAGATTAATACTGGTTCTACAGTATTCTGCAGGAAAATCAAATCCAGAAAAAACAAAACATGGTTCTTTCTTTTTGGCTTTGATTTCCTGGAGAATAATAGCATGGACCAAGCACTATTTTACCATCCTGTTCCTTAGAGTACTCAGATCATATTTTTAGTGTATTTTTCCTCTCTGTTATGACATGTGATAATGTTTGCTTAAGCAAAATCATTTCTCGACAGGGAAGGTTAATGGTTAAAGGTAATTAAGCGAAGAGTAGACAAGGACTTGGTCTAAATGTCCATGTTCATTTTAAGTATGCCAATAGAAGACTTCACCCCAACCCATTTTAGAGTGAGGAAGTTTTTAATATCTGATTTTAAATCAAATCCATTTTTTAATGCAAGTGTCTCACTGACTTTACATTCCCTCTTTGTGTTTATTGTTACAGAATCTTTGGATTCTGTGTCCGAATTACCGACAGGTGTCGGACAGCAGTTACAGCATTTAGTCAAAGGACGCCCAAAGAGAGCCAAAACGCGGGCACCAACAAGACCAACTATCAAACCACAGGAAGGACTGGAAGAAGGCTTGGATACATTTTTTAGACCAGGATCCATAACCCCAACCACTCCTCTTGTCTCACCGTCATCAGATGATAGGTTGGTTCGACAGTCACCCTTTTCACACAACTAGAAATTTTTTCTTCAAGCAACATATTCTTAAATGTTTTAAAATTCTGATATATGATTTAAGATTGATTTAAATTTCCTCGTAAATGTCTTCATGATCAAAAGAGTCTAAAATGGTTAATTTGAAGTATCAGTCTCTTATAAAATTATGCTCCGATTCTTTTTAAATTCTTGTGTTTTTAAATTTCACGAATTTCTCATTTTTTGCCTCACCCGGAAAGTCCCAAAAATAAATTAACTGGACGGAATAAACTTGACAACATAAGAATTATGTGTCAACATTGTTCAGGTTTTGTCCGATTACAGGTGCAGGCATAGCAACAAGATTTGAATGATCGCGCCATTTGTGGAAACTTGAGAGCAGAGTTCCACTAGTCATAAATCCATGACCTGAGTGAGTGCTTGTAGTTTTTGTGATTTGATAATGTATCATTGAACATTCGTCTTTTTTAAGTTATTTATTCTTCTCCATTCCAAAACACAGAATCAAATTCAGTTGAAGAGTATGGATTATACCAAAACCATGTTATATGTTCCATCATATGTTGCCAAGTTTATTCAATCTGAACATTTTCAAAGTTCTTGAAGAGCTTTTTCCGAGGAGGAACATCCATGCCCACAGTGGTAGGGGTTCTTTTTTTGATTTTTTCATACTTTCATCGTGTTGCAAATTTTTGACCAACTACAGTACCTAAGCTTGATGTCAATTGATAGAAAATGAATTGTTCTTTCAAACTGAACTAGTGGTTTTGGACAATGATAGGACCAAATGGTGTTTATCACTAGCTGTAACCAGTATGATACTGACGATATAATCCAGGTAATTTTTTGAAGGTCTTTCATAAGTCTCCATAATTATTTTTTCAGTGCTGCCAGTTCATTTGCTGCAGATTTGAGTCCTAATAACCCTGTTCATAAAGAAAAATCTAGTTCAACGAAATCCAGCAAAAGGTATGCACATTTTGCAATCTTTTTTTCAAAACCTCCTACCTTTTTTCTTAAAAGCTCTAAAAAAATATTGATAGATGAATAAATGAGGTATTAACTAACATGGATAGTTTAACCAAGTGGACACTTATTACTAACTTTATCAACAGTATGAAAAATTAGGCTGAAAATGAAGAAGAAATATAAAAAAAAGAAAAATATTATATTTCAGATATTTTCTCTTGTTGACAGAGAAGTAAATGTTGTGTGTCGTTTCTTTTTTGTAAAATCTGCAAGACAGGGCTCAAAAGTGACCTTCATTTTCAAACTTTAAAGCAAGCTGTTCATCTGGTCTAAATTTAATTACGTCAGCTTTAAAATATATTTTAAAATTACTATATTTTCGTTGTCAATTTTTCTCAACTTCAGTTTAAGTCTGTAATTATTCCTTCTTCCCCTTCATGTTTTCAATAGTTTTCTTATTCTATTTTATACGTTGATAGTTCTCCTCTTCTATCAAGTGTTCAAGAAACCCCTAGATCTCGATCAAGTGACAATCTAGAAAAGTATTCTCCTGTAGGATTTTGCCGTGTTGGAGACGTAACCACATCCAACTGCTCAGCATTTTCAAAAAGTTTAGGTAAGTTTCTTCTTTTTCAAACTTCGTATACTGTACAATGGTTTTCTCTTTCTGGAATAAATTGTTAACTTTGATCGAATAACTCAACAGTTTAATTTGATAACAAATGATGTATTAAATTAATGTAACATTCATCTATTGTAAAAGTAGACTAGATTCCGTATAACAAGTTTCATCAGAACTATGGAAGTAAGAAAACAATTAATTAAGATGAGGTTTGGTTCAGGATCTGCGGTTCCATAGAGCAACTACTGTGTTTGAAAGAACACGTTACTGCAGACATCTTTGTTGCTCTGTATGCATTCATCTGGATTTTGCATTCATATCCTGGTTACCTCTGCAAACTTCGATACTGGATTTACAACATTCGGCTAGCCTATTGACTCGCTTTTCAAATTCAACAATCACTGAACATCAGTATTTGGCTGTTTGCTCCCTTTAATATTATTTTACATATCTAATGGTCATAGTCGTAAATTGTATATTTCAGATTGCTAAGTAAGCCTCCGCTCTTGTTTTATTTTTTGAAGAAACAAACACGAACTAACCGTTTCTATTGACATTTTTCTGAATTTTTTTCACTCATTCCATAAAAATTTAATAAGATTGCAAGGAAATGTTTTGATTAGTTTTCCTTGAAGAAATAAAACTTAATCAGAGATCCTGAAGTGTAATACTTGCAATTGAAATATTAATTTTTGTATTTGGCTATCAATATCTTATAAAATGGTTTTGGACAATCATTTTTCATATAGAGAGCTTTTTTCTGTTGCAGAGTCCACCGTACCAATTACTAAAGTGGAAAAAAGTTCATCCCTATCATACTATTTTTTAAACTCATCAAAAATGTGTTATTTTCAAGAAAAAACTAACCAAAATATCTATTGACGTATCATTTTATTAGTGTGTATCCATATGTCGCTTGCTAAATTTTTAATGAGTCAATTAATTATTTTTAGGTGAGAAAGATGAAGATACAAACCGTAGTGACTCCATCATTGGTAGAATATCTAATAGTGCTTTCATTAAACCTAACAAAAGTGTAAGTAGATCACAAATTAACAATTGAAGTTCTTCATTTTAAAGTTGAAATAGCTGTAAAATCTTTCCTCCAATTGCAGCATTTAGGTTAATTTTTTTTTCTCATATTTTTTATTTTTTAATTTCAACAATGATAAAAATAATTTGAGTGAGTAGTTGCAGGTGGGTGAGTGCACAAACCCATGTGAAGTTGTTGCCTTTAAGTTGCAGTAGTAGTCAAATAATGGAAAGTATTTGTATATGAACTTCTTTGACCGATTTAGCCCTGCGAAAACAAAACCACGGAAAAAGGATTTATGTGGTCAAGGGGGTGATCACAGGGGGGCAAATGTGTTGACATTCTGTCAAAGCCTTCAATGCTCATTTCTGTGAAACAGAAATTCTCGTTACAAAGAGAAAAGCTCATTACAAGCAAATGTTCACATTTTAGAGTTATATTTTCTGGAGCTACACTAGCCATAACCAATCGAGAAGGTAACTGCTGAAGCATTTCGGGGCTCATTGGACCCATTATCAATACAAAGCTACAGCCTGAGTGTTTAAATTAATGTTCGAACGACAAGACATTAAAAATCGATGTTTTAGACGGCCCGGATAGGGCTATACATATTTTGTCTTATCTTACCAACAAAGCCAGCTAAAGTTTCAATAGGCAGGTTGCAGCTTCCTGATCTTCTGTCGCCAATCTTGGAGAGGTCCTCAAATTCATGCCAAGATTTTGGCAATCGACGGTGGCGGCAAGCAAACTTACCGCCATCCAGTGTTGCTGTTGCGGCTGTGAGTTTAAACCTTAGTGCAGTTTCAAGGACCTCTACTGGATCAGAAGCGGAAAATCAGAAGGCTGCAGTCGGCTGATGGTGGGTCCATTGAGACCTGAAACTAAGTTTGCAAACCTGATTGGTCATAACAAATGTTGCTCCTTACATAGTAACTATTCGTCCATTATCACAGAAGAGAATGGCACCAACTCTTCAATAAGTTACTATGTTTTAATTACGGTTGAATTTGCTATTATTCACCTTACAATTTATCTTCTTTTTCAGGATAATGAAAAGCCAGATTCGCCTGGTTTGTCTTTAGTCAAGTTGCGATCAACAGGACTTTCAGGAAACAACGGATTTTTCACTCCTAAATCTCCTATTTTGAAATCTCTGAACGCATCTAATGATAGAAATGATAACTCATGTAAGTTGGAAAATTTTCTGGCTCCTGCTTTTTTGAAAAGTGATAGTTCAGCAGTTAGCAGAGTAATTCAGCTGTACTTTGTTCAGCGCAACAATTCAATTCAAGCTTCATTGAGCTGGGCTTATTTAATAGGAATTTTTTTTGCACACTTTGGCGATGCAGCTATAAAATTTTCTTGTATTACAAGCGGGGCGTGCTATTTGCAGGTTCCAGAATTGTTGTCTAAATCATTGAAGGGTTTCTGGCCTCAGTTTTTTTGACTGCTTCTTCATTTTTTTTGTAACTTGTTTTAGATTCCTCAAAATACGTTACTGTAACAGTTATAGCAAATATTAAAAATACTACTCCTGTAAAAGAGCTTAATTAACCAGCCATCTGTAAAGTTAAGGGGTAGAGTAAAAAACTATTACTGTATCATTGTATGATCGAAAAATTGTATATCATTATATATGGCCCCCATGTTCTGAAGAAATAATTGTTTTTTGTCACTCCTCTGAAGTGATTCCCATTCCTGTCTTTTATGGTGTGACTAAAATGTATTTACTTTTTATTTCTTAATATTTCAGGCTCCAAATTAAAATCATTGCCTCCTCTAGCGCCAAAACCCCGACCAAAGTCCATGGCTGATCCAGAGAGGAAATCAGGTAAGATAGCATAAAGCTTATATAGAGTCATTATTTAGTTTATTTTAATGGAAAGGTGAGGGTATGGAAGTCAAAATTTTACCCTCTCTTGTTTATTATAACTGACTTTAATTAGTTGCCTTAGAAATAGTCAGTACAGCTTTGTAGGATCTTTCCTATGATGGAGAATTTGCAGGGGTCTGAAATTTGGTGAATTTCGTTTTAAAGAGAAACTTCTGAGTTAAGTGAGCATGAGAACTTTCTTGGTTTTAAAATGGACAATTATTAAAGGACATGCGACAAAATGACCTGATTTGTTAAAATACATGGGTTTAAATAGGTAATGCTGGCTGACAACGTCACAAGGCGGCACATTCTTTCACTTTTAAATACATCTTTCTACAATTCCCCATCACAGAAAAAAAGTATAGGATACCTTGAAGTCCACTTATTAAGCATATTGGATTCTTTGACTTTCCTCCCCCTGCATCCTAATATTGCACCTGTAGAACAGGTCTACACCCCTCAAAGAAAATAAATATGTGATGCTTAATTCAAATTACTAACTTACATCAACTTTTATCATAGATTCTTTGAGTCTCATTACTACTCACTATTCTAGAATTATATAATGCAATCCTGAATGCCCCCCTGCAAACTAGCCTCTGACCCCCTCCCCCTTGAGATTTATTTATTTTATGACGGACCCCCCGACTATGACCCGACAAAAAGATTTTCAGGGAAGATTAGTCAAGGAACCCTAGTCAAGATCTTCCAAGTTTGATTTCTTGGTGCTAAAGGTCCAAAACTCTCTTCTGAATCCAATAGAAAATTTTGGCATATCCCTAGAGCCCAGCATTTTTATTTATGTAGTAAAGTGAGCATTTTTCTGTAAGATAAGTTCATGAAAATCTTCACTTTTCAGGAGAATTAAGTGCGTATCTGAATGAAGGACCAAGTCCAGGGTCTGAGACGCCTGATACACCATGTGTTTTGACAGGTCTGTAAAAGTGTTTTTCTTCTTACAAATAAAATTTGATTTCCTTTTTTTTAGGTCATGTGATTACCAAGCCTCTGTTCGGCTGAACTTGAGAAATACATGCTTTCTAATTTTTGGAATGTCATATAATTGTTTTTCGATGTATCAGAAGGGTGGAAAAACTCAGTCTACCAGAATATAATGTATCAAAACAGGATCTATCAAGCATTTTTCTGATCCATCAATAATTGATGTATCAAGGGGTCTATTATTGTAGATACTTTATTTTCCAATCTCTAATATGTTTTTTGGGGATACATTGCGTTTCGGTTTATGAATTTTCATTTAATTGATCTCTCTGATGTATCAATTTTTTATCATTTGAAGACGTATTTTGTTTGCCGCAACAATTGTTTCCTGCTACCGATTTTGTGTTATTTGCGTCACTTTTTCACAACCAATGAGAGCAAAGCAGCTAGAAGTGAGGTTAGAAACCTCGTAACAATTCTGCAACCTGCTCCGGAGCACGTTCCAAGTGTTTCGCATCAAAATGTTACGACAGCGCTGCCATGTTGTGCAAAAAAAATCCGATTAAATAAGCCACGCCCCCTCATTTCCGGTAACACTCAAACAAAATACGAATGTTACACACTGATGCGAAACAGTTTCGATTGTTACGCCAAACAAAATACGTCTTGAATCTGATACTAGTTGTCTTTACACAATTAGGGCCAAGATGTTTTACCGTCAGTAGTGTTAAGTTTAATCATCGTAATATTCCATATCATTTGTTGAATTACTAAATATATACTTACAAAATTAAAAGTCAGAACATTCCTGGGTCTCTTTGTAAAAAGTCAAAATTTGAGGAAAAATTAGGCAACATCAGATGTACCTAAGTTGATCCAGGTTCAATTTGTTCAGCAAATCTTCAAAAATAGATTTTTCCTGCTGTAAAGCCATTCATAATGGATACTCATAGATATTTTTCTTGAACAATAATTTCTAAAGCTTTCTCATTATTTTTTAGGTGAAAAGAAATCTGTCAAGGAACTTGCAGCGAATTTGTGCAAGCAAGGAAGCGACTCTCCAGATGGCAAAAGGAAACTTGACTTAGGTTAGCTCATTATTTTTACAGCTTGCTCTCCAATTACTTATATTCAAGCACATGGACTTCCTCTAGGGTTTCTGTACTGATTATTGTTCCAATTACGAATATTGACTGCTGCTTACTAATCTATCCCTCCCCCCCCCCCAAACTATTTTATTCACAATTTTGGGTATGAAACTGAGTTCCTTATTGTGGCTATGCTGACACATTTTAGAATTGAAGTAATCTTGTCTTGTATTTTATCGTTGTTTCTTCAGTTGAAGATAATTTGATGTTAATTCATTCGTAGTCTCCATATGTCATACCGCCAAGTAAATAAATAATAATAAATCCAAGTAGAGGTCCTGTAGACTAATTGTTAGTACATTTTTTGTCATTTCATTGCATTTATTTTCTAATAGTGTCATATAAAATTGCATTCTAAAAAAGAAAAAAAATGAATTAATCATACATTTTCCCAATTATAACCCAATGTCATGGTTCAAACTCTGGTTAAGCTCAGTCATTACACAGCATAATTATTTTTCAAATCAAGGATGCAGAAAGTTAGAAAAAGGTTTTCAGTTTTTCTTGTGATTTTTTTGGGACAAAGCATTGTTTTGCTTTGCAGAAAGATAGAGATCCCGAAAGTCCCTAGCCTGAGCATTTTCTCCTTCCCATTTTTTCAAAAGTCCGTTTTTAAAAAGCATTTTTGCACTAATGCTTGCTAGCCTTCCCGTTGTTCCATGTGACTGGCCGTGCAATCGGTCCATGGTCAGGAAGTATTTGCATCCCTACTGGAAAGCATCTTGACGTCCTCTTAACATCTTGATATTGTACTGCTGTGATAAGAGAGCAGTAAGTGCAAAAATGAAGTTTCGAGAAAACGGGCCTAGAAGCTTCTGAGTGGAACATTTTATTGAAAGAAGCCTCCGTTCTTTGTCAAATCGCAACCAATCATTTGATAGACTTTTAGAAATTATTTGGGGGATTAAAACTCGACTGATTTTATTTTAAAGTACATGAAAAAAGGTTAGTGTTTGGCAAGACAGCAGTACATGCTATCTTCTGCGTGCTTTCGAGGTAGTGTGTTGGACACACAACATACACATTTTCAAGTTAGAAATTGGCAGATGAGGGCGGCATTCCTCTTAAAAGCACTGTTTTCATGGGCTCTCATGTACATACAGCTGTCTTGAAAGAAACTATGTCATTTTTTGTGCACTTACGGCTTTTTCATACGTCTCGTTTTCATTAAATTAGGATGAATTTTGCTGTTTTAGCCGTCTCAGTAATTTCATCAAAAAGAGTTTAGACGAATTTTGAAGAAAACTCGATTTCGAAAATTTTGCACTTACGGCTCTCTTTACTATCACAGCAGTGTAGCTAGTGACTTGATTATTCCTTGTTTTAACTCTCTGAAATTATTCAGTATCGGTGACAGAATCAGAATCTTTGGCTCTGATGGAACCAAAAGAGTTAGTGGGAAAATGATCCATATCCAATATGTTGTTTTAGTACGGTGAAACTGTAAGAACATGTATCGCAGGAACCTCAATTTTTCAGGAGAGCAAAAATCTCTCCTTAGTTTTGACATGGTTATCAGAAGACATCTCTTTTAACTCATTAATGCAGCTAACTTAAAACCATGAATAATCAAGATACATATGTTGGTTCCACCATCGATCTATTTCATCATTTCTAGCTGCAATTTTATCTTGAATCATTGAAACTGTCTACCTATCAATTTTCTCGAAATCTGATAAGTATTGTTTTTAGGGTATCAGGTTCATTAAATATTGATTATCAACAGGGCAAGGCAAGAATGAACATTTGAAATTATGGAACGATTCATTTGATATGGAACATTTTCCCCCCGGCTATTTCAGTCATGTCAAAGTCAAAAAGCCCTCGATTTTCATTGATTCTTTAGCCTTCTGTGTCTACAAAATCTGGACAGTCCTCAGTGTGAGTACAACAAAAGACACTGGAGTCAATTCGTCGCCCCTTTGACGTAAGGGCATATCTCGATTTCCACTTGAGTCCTGTTCTCTGTATAACTCTATGCTCTACGGTGGTTATGTTAGAATGGAGATATGCCCTTATGTCAGAGAAGCGAAAAATTGCACCTTGAAAACAAGCTTGCTCTTTATTATTGCTCAAAGCATGTACTGCATGGTTCTATGCACTGTTACATCAACTAGATTATTAGTCAGGGGCACCATTGGAGAGTAGCGTAGGGGGTTCTTCCTCTCCCCAAGACTCACAAAACAGACCTTTCACTAAAAAAAACATTACTTAATTTTAGTGAGTTTCTGGAGTTTTTGAAGTTCTACCCCCTTATCCCCAATTAAAAGAATTTTGCACCATCTGAGGTCTAGATGAAGTGGTATCCTTGACTATTGAATGCCTGATAAAAACTAGATGAGTATTGCAGCTTAAAAGATGTAACAATTTTAGTCCTTTTTTTGTTTTTCAACAAGAAGAACTGTACATATACTTAAATGTAACACTTTAATTTTATACTTTCATTCAATTAATTTCCCATTGAGTTTCGCCATTATTCTCATTAGATATGCACGTCATGTTTGTACATAGTTTAAATTTGGCCTTGATACAGGTTCTCACCGGTTATCTGGTAGCAGACTCGATGCTCAAATTCTTTTTGGTGATAAAAACCAGGTAATTTATCTGCATGCTTCACTCAACACGCTCGAATTAGAAACTTAAGTTTTTTTTTCTCATGGTTTAAGTTTAAAGAAAGACGGTTTTTTTGCCTCTCTAATTTTACTTACGCCTACCAGAAAACTACGGCACCGTTTTGTATAAATGATTTAATTGCAAAATTGCAATTAACAAAATTCAATCCAACAACAGTAGTATACATTGCAGAAAAATAGTTCAATTAGAAATTTCGTCACATGCCTTGGAATATTGTCAAAATATTCTCACTTTGATTATAATTATGTATTTTCCCTCTTGGAAATACTTATCTCAATACTTGCTGCATACCACGAATTATAGAATTGTTAACATTTTGACAGTTTAAATTAAAAGAGCATTTGGAGACTAAAATACAAGGAAATTTTGTGGATTTTAATTTTACAAATAAATGTATTCTTACTTTCTAAATATTGGAAACTTGAGGGATTTTCGTTAAAAACATGGTAAACATCACAAATATCTAAAATTTGACTGTCTGCTTGGGCATATGACGGTATGCCTTTTTGGACTATTTGCTTGCAACATACATATAATTCTTGTATGCAAGGATTTGGTCTTTTCCATTCAATCATGCTACTATTTGTTGTTTAACTCTCCGTGATGTAAACTATAAACTTCCTCAGTTTTCATGTTTTTTAACCCTGTTTGGAGATTGGAGTAATTCTCTGAGATTGCAGAAATTCCTGTTCTGTTGCCTCAAAAAATTGTGGCTACTGAGGAATCTCCACAATCACGAAAACTTGATTGAAATATAGCCAAGTGAGTGCTCAGTGCTAGGTATGAACTAGTTACAGTAGTAAAATAGTATTTCCTCATCAATAGTTGATGTTAAAACATCATTTTTTCCTCCAGTAAGTCTACTGGTTTAAAATCTGGGGTATTGAGGAAAGGATTAAAAAAAGAAGCAAGCTTTCGCTCACTTTTTTGCCATTTTTGTTTGAGGTTGAGACTATAATAATCGGAAGATATTTTACATGAAGATGTTGAAGAACATTCAGTCATTACTTCCTTCATGTAAATCACATTTCAGGGCATACTTGGTAGAAAAACTTTCCTTGTATATTTAAGGTATTTAAAGTATACTTGAGTTTAAAGTTTATCTAGGGTTCAAGCCTTTGCTTAACTTCAGAACTTGAAAAGTATGAGTTTTTCTTGAAATCACAAAAGTAACTTAATCATAGATAATACCTTTGATTAGTGAATGAAATGGTGCAAAGTGAACATTTTTCAGGTACCTATCGTCTCATTACTTTTGCTTATGCACCTATTTTATTTACTAAAATTTTGTATTGCAGGTTCTTCCCAAGACACCGAGTAAAATAAGGAAAAAATTTGCTGAGGACGGGCCACTGGATGTGAATATTGAAGATTCAGTTGACGTTTAAAATCAAAAAGTGCAAATTGTTCGTGAAGTTTCTTCCTAGTCGTATGTTACGTACAGTTGTGTTTTCGAAATTTAGTTGAAGTTTTGTAAATAATTTGTCTTGACCTTCCCTCCTGATTTTATATTGCAAGATCATGTTTCAAAAAAGTTGTTCGAGATATGTTTTACCCCTCATTTTGACTAGCATTTTTTGTCTCATTCTAAGTTATTTTTAGAATAGTTTGCTTATTGCATCCACCAGTTGATCATGAACAAAGGTCGTGTTCTAATGTTTAAATGTTAGGACTTACTTAACTATGTCCTTTAATTAATTTTAAGAATGGATACAAATTTCCCAGAATGATTCCCGAGTGAGATTATCCTCATTCTAAGTCTCCTAATACAAGACTCCAAGTCAGAATCATAGTTCGCCTTATCTTGGATTTGTCTTTACTTTTTCTAACCTTAATTTACCCCAAATTGTTATCAAATCTCAAAAAATTCTGTATGCAGTTGCTTGTCAAGTTTTTACAATAATATATGCCAATTAATTTTTCACAATCATATTCAACTTTCTATGCAGTGTTTTTTTTTTTTATTTATTTATTTATTTACAATGCATATTATTTCTTTGGAGTTATTTGGAAACTGTATTCACTCCCATTTTACACGCTCATATCAATTGCATGGTGTTTTTTCCTTATCTTGTTTTTCAGTAAACAATCAAGACATTCCATCCGTTATATTATTTTTCTCACTTGTTTTCATGGATACTTATCTTTTAAGCCCCTTCTGTCAATTACTGTACATTTAAAATTTGTTAATTCATTAACTCAGCTATGTGAAGCTTTTGACTTCTTTTCATGGTAATGGGCGACTAGACATGGTCCCAATTAGAAAAAGAAGTTTTTAGAAAACGACTCACGTAACAGAAACTTTGAAAAGCGACTCCTAGACGAGGTATTGACGAATATTCTTAGTTGCTGCTGAGTTATTGGTTGCCTTTGCAAAAGCAGGTCAAAAAAGAGATGAGAGGAGTAGCAGCAACAATTGGTAGTGTCAAGAGCCTTTTACTAATCCTAGTCGTTTGAACTTTCATCTGATATTTCCTTTATCTTCAAATAATAAAATTATTAAAAGTATTAAAAGGTATAAAGGCATGTATTTTATACTTAAAACAATTCTCAGTCAGATCTCCTTGTACCCATCCAATTCGCCGACCTCATTTTCTTTGGTATTAGTAGTGTTGCTGTTTTCATAATTTTCATCAAGCTAATAATTTCTGTATCTGCTCTTCCTCCCATCCATTCCTTTCCTCATACTTATTATTAATTGATGTGATACTTTCAGTTTTTTAATGACTTGCTAAAACCCATGAAAAATGAAATAAATTCAACTTCGTTTTAACATTCCTGCTTTCATTTAGGAAGTCACATTAATGTTAAGTAAGGAGTTTAATGTCCACTCCTTTTTTTCTTCTTTTTTTTAATTATTTGGATATCCCTCGCCTTTGGTTTTTTACAATGTTCTAATGGTGCCAATTTTTAGAATTGTCTGCTCTGAATTTGATCCGTATCTCAAAACACAGAACTGGCCTGTAGACTCAGATGTATACTGAGAGGGCATCAATGACAGATGTCTGTCCAATATATTTGTTTCCCTCATAGTCCCACCATTCCTAAATGTCAGTGTGAAACATTTTGCCAATCGAACAAGTTTTTGTTAATACCCTTTTTTTGGAAATAACTAGGTACTTTTTGATAATGATGCTCATTTTTTGTTATTTGTATTTGTGCCAATTGTCCAAATTATTTGCTCTGAATTTTGTTCCAATCTCAAATGTGTAACTAATAGATGTACACATGTGGACCATATTACGCACTAAGGAACCAACTTTCATGGTTCATTTCAGAAACATCATATGTACCATTGGTTTTCGATGCAGATAGATGCTTCTGTAGATGGTTTAGAAATAGTATTTCCTTCTTCGGTTATGCAGTTCATCTGTAACACATATTTGGTCGATAAATTAATTTTTCCCACAATCACAGCCTTCTTGGGCGTCAATATAGAGGTCTATTATATATTAATTTTTTGTCAATAACATTGTAACCATGTTCAAAGAAGTCATCTTTTCTCGTATTAAAGGTGCCTTTACCTATTTTCCCTAGGTACTAATATTGTAAAAAAATAAAGAAATGTATCTAAGATGCCAAACCTTTTTTCTTCCTTTTTTTGTATTTAAGATAATCAAAACATTCCCGAGTCAATATCCAAATAGTTCCTCTCATCTAAATAGAACTGGCCTTGCTCATAACGAATTGGAAACAGTATTAGTAATTATCAGACCATTTCAAAATTCTAGTCAAAATTTTGTCTTTTCATCTGCTTATGTAAGGGTTTTTCTTCTCCCTAATTTTTTTTTAACTGCATCATGTTTGAAAAATGGTAATGGGCCGTTCATAAAATACATACTGCTAAATTTCAGATTTTTCGACTCCCCTTCCCCTCCTCCTTCCTCATTGCGCTTTTGTAACGTAGGTCTCTATCCTTTAACATGAAAAAGCAAAACAGTGTATCACTCTCCTCGACCCCCTCCACCTTTAGAGTGATATGTATTTTATGAACGGCCCCTGTGCTTGGTTGTATGTAAATTGTGAATTCTGAAAAAGTTCATTTTCATATTGTTTTGTGAAGGTAGAAGACTCGAAAACTGTAGATAGATTTATTTATTTTTCATTTATTTTTATTTTTTAAAATGCATTGTTTTTTATTATTACTCCAATTTTGGAAGATGATAAGCTTGATGTGAATTAATGCATTGCATTTGCTTTTTGATTGAGGTGTAGCAGTTCATATTTTAATGAACGACCAGACTTTATTGTTGGTTTCATGTCAATATTGTGTATTAATGATTAAAGAATATCTTCTGTACTTTTTTCCGTCACAATAGCTTTTTCCTATTGTGCTCAGCAACACCTAACCACCACAACCTCCTATCCACACGAAGTCCTTCAAGGAGTTGACACTCCTTCATTTCGTGTAAAACCCCCTATTTCCAACCTCTCTCTGGGCATCCTTTTCGTCTACTCTCAGGAGGAACCCATTCAAGCATTTTTTGAGGTTTTCCTGCATGACCATTTCTTCTGTGCTATGTGAAAGCCTTTTTTCCATTAAATTTTGATATTATTGTATCTTATTTCCTTTTATTTCGAGCTTAATTTGTTCTTCAATTCGGTAGTAAAGAATTTTCTGTAGAAAGTACAAAGCAAAGATAAAAACTGTTTTTAACATTGTTTTGTATTAAAGAATTTCATGTGCCAGAGCTGAAATCAAAGTATGGCTTTTTTTTTTTATCTTGCTTTGTGATAAAGTGATAGTTTTAACAGTCTAGTATAACCGGTTGCCATTGTAAATCAAAAAAAAAAGAAAAAGAAAGAAAGAAAATAAGCAAATGAGATACAAGGTTCATATGTCACAATGTTTCCCCTCTGAAAGCATTATAAAGTGCCAAATTATTTGCCTGCTACAACCACTCTCACCCCAGTTAAAATTTAAACTTTTTGAAGTTGTCCTCTTTTTTTTATGAGAAAGAACTAGCAGAAAAGATGGGAAATAAAGCACTTTGTCATATTTTCTTGGAATCTTCTTTACAGAGCAATTTTCCTAAGATTAAGTTTTGAAATCATCTCCCAATGAGATATGACTGGGTTCACAAAGTAAATTGGCTTGTCTAAAAACCGTCTATTGTCCATTGTAATGTTTCAGACTTGCAGTAGTTTTTTTTTTGTCCTACAAAATTTATTGCTCATCAAATATTATGCATAAATTAAACTTTTAAGTATATTTAAAGGACTTTATGTAAAATTATTACATTTCCTCTTAGATCAACTTTAGTTTGTAAATTTCAGTAAAATCATATCATGCAAATTCAGAAGCACTGTACTAGACATTGGACTATTTTGCACAAGCCGGTTCAAATAAAAGATGTATAATACCATTTGTGTATTTCTCAATAAGAAATATTAATTTAAACACTTGAAATCAATTGCAGTCAATTCTCATTGCCTTTCATTCAAGTCCTAATTGTTAGCAGACAATTTGTTTGCGGCATGAAATTTTGGAGAAGGGACATTTAGCATGGTGCTTTGCTTCAAACCTTATCAACTGAAACTTTGAAAAGTTTCAATTCAAACTATCTTGTACAATTGGAAAATAAATTCATTTTTTGTTTTTCTCTCGCGCACCTACCGAATACAGTGTCTGATAAAAGATGTAAATAATATGAAAAATAATTGGAAGATAATAAAATTCCTCCTCATCATTTATTGATGCACAATTGGTTTTTGTGATAGCTTTTATAAATGTGTATTTTTAACTAACTTTTTTAGTCATGTTCAATCGACTTATTATTAAGTGCAGCTTTTAAACTGTTTGTTTGGAATCGTTGAATGTAAATTTTCTAATATCCTTAACGTTGACTGCCATGACATCAATGAATGCTGCTGTAAAGTTTCCTTGCTTTTTAACTTTTTTTTTCTTCTTTCTTTTTTTTAAATATATATAGCTCAATTTTGTTGTTAAAAATTATTTTGTTATTAATTTTCTTCTCCCTCTCTACGCTGCTTGCTTGTCAATGTATTAGTACAGCACTTAAATATTAATAAAGATATGAAGAAGTGTAATTTAATAATGTTTAAGTGCTGATTTATTAATCCAGCACTCAACTGCAAGGATACAAATCCTGGCTTTTAACAGGCACCAAATTCCGACACAATCACTCATCTAACACATGTATAATTTTTTGTTCGATTGATTGATTTATTTATTTTTTTTTACCTGTACTAGCGCTTATCTCTATCCCATCTGTGACTAATAACTGATTTCTTACCATCATTTTCTGGCATTGTACTCTTATAAATTATTTATTGCATTAATATTCCTTCCATCTTTTTATCCAGATGTATGTCCTGTAGTCTCATTAGGTAGATATCCATTTTCTACCTTGGCAACACTTAAATTTAACATAAGCTGTAATTATTAATTCCTGGCTTATTAAAACCATTTTAATATTATCTAACTTGGTATTTTTTTGTGGAAGTTCCTCATTTATCATACAGTAGTACCTACCCTTTGTGTGTTCGCTCATTCTAATCGTGAAAGAAGGTTCAAAAATAAAGCTGAGAATACGATAAGAAAGTATTATTCAGATTGCCCGCCAAATATGTGATGAAACTATTAATTTTTGGTGCCATTGCCTCTGAGCAATCATGGCTGTCTGCAGCTAAAAACTGTGCCTGTATACAAATGCTTCAGTGACTACTAACATGAGCACTTCAAAACTTATGGAGCGAAATAAATGTGTGTTATTCGGATTTCGGATGGTTATTAATTCTCTCTCCCTGGTATATTTGTTGCCTATGCGGTAAAAGTGAAGGCGACGTTCCGGTGAAAAAACCAATAGGTTTACACATGGTGAAAAATTGAAAATTCATACTGTTAAAGTATATGGAGCGAGATGAAGGGAGATGTGTCTTTTGAAAGTGTAGGTAACTACTTCATGCGCCACTGTTATGTCACACATTGTCTATTAATTGTACCAAAGAGCCTAGGTATCCATTAAAATTAAAACCATTTTGGGAGCACAGGGATTTCATTCAAGTCTGTGCTAAACAAAACCATATGATGAGACAATCCTCCAGAGAACATTTTAGTTCGTGCTCAAAGTTTGCTTCAACAATACAGCATGGCAAAGTTTGCATTTTTTACCAGTAAAAATGCTAATATTTTGTAATCGTTAAATTATAAAACAACTTCACTCGATTTTTTCTGCGGCAAAATTTCCTGAATTGATATGTTACTGGGGGATTAAGGCTAGGCTGTTGATGACCCTGCAATCTAGCGATCAGTCGTGATAAAGCCTTTCAAATTATGCATCAGGTGTCTCAGACCATCCGTTCCAAGCTTTTTTCTTGGTAATTTTAGGTAGGTTGATGTCTTGGGCCAGGCCATTAAATAGGGAATGGAATACGAAGGGGACCAAGGTAGGAACGTCGTAACCATGAAAGTTTGATTCTATGGTCCATCCTTCCTCGACGGTGAAACCACCAGACCACTCTTTTAGCATTGAATAATCTCCACTTACATTTTATTTTTTTAGTGGAGAAAAAATCAATATCATTCCCTGAGGTACAGGCACAGAGAATTTTCTTCGTACAGCGAAGAAAAATCACGGAAATTTTAAAGAGTCGACGTTGAGTGGATTTCCATTTAAAAAATTAAGTGTGACGGGGAGTCTGCAATGTCGCAAACCGAGAAACGTGGTCGGGTGGTTTCACCGTCGATTTGCAATGCATTCAATTTCATGCATTCATGATAATAGCGACTTGAAACACTATTCGCACCCTATCGAAACGCGTGTTGCATGTGACAAAATAGAAGGCGCTCCGGTTACTCTACTTCATGAGGTAGTGCACACAGCTGCGTGTGGCACGCGCCGCGCCGCCCCACCGTGGATTGAGTATACAGTCTCTCCCTCCCCCTTCGAGGGAGAGGGAAAGAGAAGAAGTTTTTGGTTGGAAAAGGACAGGGTGTTCGGTTAGACAAGCAAATATGAAGAGATAGAAACAAATATATTGAATGCACGAGAGATTTATAGCAGGAGGTTCCAACCAACGATCATTTTGTTGGCAATGAGAATATTTTTAGGCGTGACCGAACGATTTGAGCCTAATTTTGCGAGATTACACGACTGAATTTTATTGAATGGCCTCTTTTGGATCCCCTGTTGAATCTTAAGTTTTCGGCAAGCAAGGCGCAGTCATTTTAGTGATATCTTTAATAACCCTTATGTCCTTTATTTTTCGTGATTTTTAGATTTTTAATATTTATATAGTTTACTGTGCTCGATAATGGATATCCCGACAAACATAGCTATGCCCTAGTCGTTAGTGGAAGAAGAAGAAGAAGAAGAATAAGAAGAAAAAAATTAACCCGTAGATGCCAAAGCCGAGTTTAATATCAATTGGAGGACAAGGTTTGCTAAAAACACGTGCCTCTCGGATTATATGAGGTCGGTTCATACGAGCTTTAGATGTGGGTCTGCAAATCCATCCTAAAGAGAATCAGACATGAACTTGAAAAAGAGAAAACATCTAGTATCAACACAGCCGAAGTCAGGAGCCAGTATTCGGGAATCCTTCCTAACTTTTCTCCCGAACCGAGTTACACCTCATCGGCAGCATAGCGGAGCCTTGCGAGTTCACGCCTCGCGCTGTAGCGCCTTCAATTTTGAAGACGCAACACGGTCATCCATCAAGCACGAATAGTTGTATCTCTGCGCCGTCGTCAACGCGCATCCTTTCCCTTGCTCTATTTCCATATTGTTTTGCTTTCGGTTGTCTTATGTGTAGTGGTGGTTCAAGGGCCATGTAAGCAATATAGCCGAAGATAGGAAAGACGCAATCCAACCTCGTTTTTTATACTATTCTCCTTAATCTCACTGGCATCTCACAAAATTCCATAACTATCAATTTTGAGAAAACTATAGTACCTACGCCTGAAAAAATAAATCAGAGAAAAACGATTATCGTCTTCCGCGCTTTGACATCAAAATTATTAAGTACATAAAGGTATCGCAGATTAATCTATTTTAAATATGCTAGGGCCCTCTCCGCCGTCTTGTTATTGAGCTGGTGAGCCATTTGAACGCATACTGCCACTGGTACACTGGAATCCTCGAGGCTGGTCGAAATCAAAAAGCGCTCCCTCTCGGCTATGTGCTGAAAAGGAGCGGACATTTTGAAACACCGCAAAGGAGATTTTTTTATATATGTATCGCGCGACGGTGTAAGTCGGCAATCACATCATTCGGTTTGCGACGTCGCGTCGTAGACTTCCTGTCATACTTTAACTTTTGAACGGGAAACTACTCAACGGCAGTTCTTTAAAACTGCCGTGATTTTTCTTCTCTGTGCGAAGAAAATTCTGCCAAATCTTCAAGGAATGATGTCAATTTGTTCTCCTTTAAAAAAATAACACAGAGGCGGAGATTTTCAGACACCGCAAACGAGATGTGTGATTGCGGACTTACGCCGTCGATATATTAATTAGAGAATTAGGGACTACAAAATATATCGACGGTGTAAGTCGGCAATCGCATAACTCGTTTACGAAGTCTGAACATCTCCGCCTCAATGTTATTTTTTTGAAGGAGAACAAATTGACATCATTCCTTGAGGTTTTTTCAGAATTTCCTTCGCACAGAGAAGAAAAATCACGGCAGTTTTAAAGAATTGTCGTTGAGTAGTTTTCCGTTTAAAAAATAAAATATGACAGTAAGTCTGCGACGTCGCAAACCGAGTTATGTGATTGCCGACTCACACCGTCAATATACGTATTAAGGTGATTCGTTAAGCTCAACTGACGTGGTCGTAGTGGAGTGCGATATATCTCATCGATTAGGTCAAAAATCTCGGCAGATTTGGAATTTTTAGCAAAAGAAGGACGATAGCCCCTGCGCATGAGCCTAAAGAATCATTTTAAACCCAAAAATCAGCTGAATTCCGAGAAATGAAAGCAGAATAGTGTTTGGAAAAAAACCTCGCATTCGATTCAGCCATCGATTTCTGTATCGAATGCAAGGTTTTTTTCCAAACACTATTCTGCTTTCATCTCTCGGAATTTTGTTGATTTTTGGGTTTAGAATGATTCTTTAGGCTCATGCGCAGGGGCTATCGTCCTTTTTTTCGCTAAAAATTCCAAATCGACCGAGAATTTTGACCTAATCGATGCGATACATCGCATCCCAGTTCGATCACGTCACTTGAGCTTGACGAATCACCCTAAGCCTATACAATGGAGGTACTTGGTTTCCCATTTTGGCCATGGATGTATTGGATGTATTTCTGTCAAACGGAACTATGTGCATCATGACGCGAGCCCTGTTATGCATATATTCTTATGGGTCTCAGGGCTCATGTCTTGATGCACATAGTTCCGTTTGGCAGAAATACGTCCTATTGTCACCAGTCACGGTCAACCCCATCCCTGCGCCGGTCGCGTGGTCGTCGCGACGAGCTCAAAAGCTCCAGACGACGCAACGCTCCGGTGCGCGTTCCCTCTTAATTGGTCGAACGCGTCAAAGCCGGGAGCCATGTGACTGACACCTGTCCTGTCCGAATCGGTTTCGACCCGCGCCGGCGCCGGAGCCGAGCAAAAGCCGCGACGCTCATTGGTCCGCGCCGCTACGAGCGCGCCCGACTTTCCAGCGACCACTCGTCGCGACCGGAGAATTCTCGCCGCTTTTATTGCCGCTCGAGAGTGGACTGGTTTCCTCGTTTCTCGCAACCCCCCCCCCCTCCTTCTCGGGGGTGATGTACGGTGCGAGGTGGACTAACAGTAAACGGGCGAATTCTCACTTTTAATGTAATTGCTAGATAAATGGCTCGCCGTGGAATGAGCAGTAATGCAAATATACACTCCTGGTGCTCCGCACCCTGGCTCTGCTCTGGTCGGAGTGACCGCAAAGAAGGTCGTTTCCTTGAGCGCTGACCCCTGCCTGCTACCATTAACCGCGACGCCCGCTATCGGAAAGAGCGGCCCGGGGATTTCATGCCGGGCAGTTTGGAGATGGGCGCCTTTCAAGACTGCAAAAACGGCGTTAATTGTAGGGTGTGTCGGGAGTTTATTTTCTCTGAATGGGTGCCTGTGCATGCACGCGCATTCGTTGCGATGCACGTATAGACGGAGGACCTGCAAAAACGCGTATCTCATTTTCGGCGCTTCTGGTTTATCAGACGCGCCCTTCCCAGCCGCCGCACAGTGGGTCGAGTCAATCGGAGAGGTCGGACGTGGGACTTTTGATTAAAACTGCAAATTTTGATGTTTATTTCGTCACATTTTAAATTTCAAGGGATGCAAGTAGAAGAATATTTCACGGGGAAACCAATGGAACCACTTTCAGAACCTCAGAGTTCTGTATGGACGGAGTTATGAGCGTTTAAAGTTTCCAAATTTTGTCCGACCTCTCCTTGACTCGATGTACTGTGCGCCGTTGGACTCCTCGTTGTAGCATATATA